TGGCATCCACTGGCTAACAGTTGAGAATGATTGTGACTTGTACAATTTCACCTTGACTTCTCATCCTAATTAGACCTATCCCCTCTGTACCTATATCTTGATGCAGTCCACTAAGTACTATACGGGATGCTTTAAAGTTTACAGACGATAATAATCCATTGAATAGACAGGAAACGATTACATTTTATTAAGTTTACGCTCCCTGTGCGATATGTATTAAGTATTCAAAGTCAGAATGAAAGCCGTGCGATCGGCGTCGATAGGTCGGCATAATCGCTGCTGACTGTTCGCTGCCTTTGATACCGGTTTTACACTACAACTGGTTAGAATAGGTTTTGCATAACGTATCCAGTATGTGCCGCTCGGGTTGGGTGTATTATCTGGAATTCTCAGCCAGTAAAAATAAAGCCCTTTTTATTAAACTTATCTTGTAGAATATAATTATAAGCCTGCGGGAGCAACTTACTGCAGGCCTTAAAAATGAATTTTTTGCTTCTATGTTACATATTTTAGTGAAATTATTTTTCTGATTTCGGAAGTAGCATGTATATTGTGTTCTTTTTTTACACCGATTCGCGCGAGTTAACATCTTTGGTCTACCTATGACTAAATAGAAATTGTTTAGCGATATACTTTGATCAGTGTAGTTGCAGCCGTATTTAAATCGTAGCATGTACCTTTTAAATTTTAAAATGTTTTGTATTCATGTCGTTCGGCGCCTTATTGTGTTAATCAATGTTCTCCGGCAAAATTCTTTCGCAGTATAATAAATACCATTAATGATAACAATATGAAACGATACGAATTAGACACCGCTTTTCTAGGGTATCGTAGACGTATTGTCGAATGACGTACCATTACAGTACATAAAGCATTTATTCGCATTCTTACCTGAAGACCTTTATTAGGTGCACGATGTTACTGATCAGCTGTTTCATATGCGCGGATTGAAGTGTACCTCTGTATGCCTCTCTTTCAAGTTATGAGCAGCCCAGTTTTAATTTTGCTACAGAGTTCTAGGTTTATATTAGAGATTGTTTGCAGTTGGTATGCACTCTTTTAGAATTGTGAACAATGTGTTGTCGCAAATGGAGTGAGTATAAATAATATATGTTTGCGAGAACATGGATTTCGAAGAATGCGTAAGCCGGTATTTGGGCTTAATTTGAATAAAAAATTTGTTTATAAAGTTTGTTAATGATTTTTTATTTAATGTTCTGAAAATATGAATACGATTTTTTGAAAACATGTTGTGATATAGTGTTTAAGAGAATGTGGTGTCAGGAACCAGGGAAATTAGTTTGCCCTCCCGGCAAAAGGTGGTAAATTGTCGGCAAACGGCCTTGACGGAACCTTGTTAAAATTATTATTGTGAAAGGTTGCAACGAATCTCATCCGCTCAGCACAGCATAGTTGTTTTGCGGTTGCAGGTGAGGTGACTTGCAGAGTTATGTCTTGTTCGTACAGGTTTTTATTGCGTGTTTCTGTTGACCAAGAAGTTAACGCCGATGGAATATCGCGCATAATACTTTGGCACAGATCTCACTTCTACCAGTCAGCTACTTTTGTTTGTCGCCAAATAATCCCGTGCTAATTTTTCAGCAATACGCTGACCGCCAACAAGTGGGAAAAACTTATTCGAGGTTAAACCGACATATTCTAGAGCTTCATATTTTTCAGACTTTACCTTATTATTATTATTACCTTTTTACTATTATTATATTATTATATATTATTATAACATTTGTTTTACGTTGCTTTTCCGGAAATAAAGCTTCAAAAATTCAAAATTTTCTCCAAAAATTCTGAAATGTTGGCGCCATTTAGCAGATATTTTGCTGACAGAATCTGATAACAACCAATAAAATGGTCTAATACAGAGAAATGCACGGTTTCATATTTGGTATTAATGAAGCTGAACAGAAGATTTGTGGCCAAGTCTGCCATTACACAGAGATGCCGGTATAGGTTTCATGCAGCGGAACGTCTTTGTTCTTTCATACATTTTGACAAAGTGTTTCCGGTCAGCTTGCGGTGCAGCTGCCATGAATCTCGAAATATATATTCCACTACGAAACTTTCCCTTATAATATTACATTACTGTCAGTATAATTTGAACATTACAACGAAATTGATTAACTTCATCTCAGATTTTTACGCTATTGAAAATTTAATGTAAGTTGCACCGGCATGCATTAATTAAGGTTCGCAGCACGGTATAGTATATACTTCAGCTATTGATATTTAGCATTTACATGATTATCAGCGAAGTATGCCCTGTGCAGAAAACTTATTACTGTTTTAATGGTCAGACCGTAAATTACAAAAAATAGTCAACCAGGCTTTCAGTACTTCCATGTTCTCTTAGCGCAGGCGTTAGGCGTGGTATGTCCGTCCACGTGTGTACCAGGGATCGGAAGATACGTTCACTGCGTAGGACGAGCGCGGTATTCTGCAAATTGTGCAGACGAATTAGAAACTCTTAGTGCCATACCGATGTGAACACGTTTTCAAACGGCTAATTTGACATTTTTTTGCCTCCCGAGATCCGGTGCGAAAGATGGTGTTCGTACAATATATCTTTAACAGTTACACACACTCAAAGCATAGCTACCGCATATATTCATTTAGCAGCGGCATTTAAGCCAGCTGAAACGGAGAGTTGAACGATGTGGTGCAAGATAAACATGTCGCACCAGCCACTCGCAGAGCGAGAAAAAAACCTCAAGGAGAAACAAACCGGTTTTCTACCAGCTCTGTTGGTTTTACTGGTAGCAAATTAACAATATCCGCTCTTAGCCAAGCTGTGTAAATAGCATTATTACCACTGACCAATCTGACAAGATACGGATGCGATGCTGCCGATCGATTTCGCGCTGGTCAAATGCGGCATTGTAAATGCAATGTGTACTTTCTAAAAGCCGGTTTTCTTTCTTTCACCTGTCCGGTGCGTTAAGGTTAGCGATTTTATATTATAAGATGCTACAGTCCAGAATTGAAGAAATATTTATTTGACAATATTCTCGAATTTTATAGTAATGATGCCATGAAGAAACAAGGAAATAACTGAGCGGATTTACAGCTTTGTCAATGATTTAATAATTACATTGTTAGTAATTTACTTTTAATCAAAAATTCTGGGAGACCTTTACAAAATTTCCGGATGTCCGCACAGTGTGAATCACAGGCGGTATGGTGCAACGGTAGCAAAGGGAAACTGAGATTTCTTCCATTGACAAGTGATAACCTGTGTCGGCTGGTACGGTAACCTGAGCCGAGCGGCATGTGTATGGCTACATGATTAAATTCACATATTATGAACATGGTATTGGTATCCTATTAACAACTTGTCCTCATTTGCCCTACGTAAGACTCATGGCATAAGAAAATGAATGGGAAGACCATTTGTGATCATTAGTGATTGCGATAATGAACCTCAGCGCGCGAGACAAAGAACAGCCATTCAGCAGTTTATCCACTTCTTTTTAATGGTGTTGAGTTCATTTGCGAACAGACATCTGTCTACACCGACAAAAATAGCAACTGGCTTCTGTGCTGCAGCTTGCGACATCAACGAATGGTTCTAATGACCAACGAAATTGTGATGTTCGAGTTTACCCGAGAGTCAAGAGTTGTCCAGTCAGCGAACAAACTTTAAAGAATCAGAATAGTGAAGGTAAATTAGATAACTATGAGAATAATAACAAAAGCAAATCTGCTATACTTACACAGTTATACATATAAATCAAAACAATGGCCCTCGTAAAATGTCAGTCCTGTATTATGCGATTGTGAGCTCGATCACAGATCTAATTATGAACAATTTCCGATAAAGCATAAACGCCACACCATCCACGCGACCCTGACAAAAGCGAACATATACGAAGTACAATGTAGAATGAGTTGTATGAAGGAAATGCTAGTGCATCCCATGGGATCAAACATATTTCCGAACGATGATGCGGATTACTGTATTGGAATAATGTGTTGAGGAGGTTTTAATTACTATCCCAGCGGTCTCCACTAAAATATGGATGTAGAGAGCGATTTGTAATCGGAAGCACAGTTGGGCGTAATCGGAAGTTGAGCAATGTTCTTCCGTAACCAGTCGGAATAGAGGAACGACGCGGGCCGGCAGCGCATACGACCGTTCCCAAACACACCACATGCTGAACTTCAATACACCGCAAGCTGAAGCGCACTACCGCAGCGCTTAACATTGCAGCCGCCATTGCTTACAACTTGTACAACTGTAAATATCCATAACCGTGAAGTGTGTGTAATTGCACATATTAAATTTGCAGACAAAACTATCTTCTTTGCCGTTAATTTTTGCTCGTACTCCTGGGTTATTATACGATTGATCATACTATTAATGACTATTAATGCTGCATACTGCAAAAAAATATTCCATTAGTAGTTATTGTATAGTGTATACAATTAAAGTCGTTTGGATAATATGCAGACTTAATGCTAACCACAATCGGGTTATTCGGGGTACAACGTACAGAGTTTAGTTTGGATTCTACTGACCGATAATAATTTATCATCAAGGCAACCATTTCGGTTCCACTTGATTTATGATCCAATCCTTAAACACTGCTTATTACGTCTGTATGTAGTAAGGAAAGTCATAACTTATTTGCACAGATATAGTTTTAAAATTGTCCGCATTTGGCCGGCCAGAGAAAATTGGAGTGGTTTATCTTTGATATTAATGGTAGGGATGAATGAAATGATTTATTAGTACGCTAACCAAATCTTACCCACGCTTGTATTATAAGTGTATCCTGACTTCATTTCTGTCAGGCATACATACACACTGCACACATACCGGCGTATAAATGCAGAGAGTGACGGCGATATCTTGTTTAGCGTGCACAGCCAATCAGAAGCAAGTCCCAAATGCCAATAATATCAAAAATCAGTCGTCAGTCAGAGAGACTGCTCTTAATGTACACACTGTACACACTGCGTTCGGCGATCCCTGTAGACTTGACGGCGATCTCCATCCATTAATGAGCAGTGTGCCTGTGAAACACGGTTGGGTTTTACTGTGTGAAAATGTTTTATATGCGCATTTGTAGCGTCAGGTTGAAATAAATAGCCCATAGTACAAGTTGGTGACCTTTACTCATACAGCCAGCGAGCGAGTGCATAGGGTGTGCTGGCATAGCAGCAGGAAAACAATCCGTCTCGCACAGCAAGCACTTTCCGTTCGAATATGGTGAATGGAGATTTCTTGCTGGGAGCCTTAACCATACACGATTCATCCGGTAAATTATTCCGTTTTTATTTGTGGAATTGACCGATTGATCGCGGACGTCACATTCACTTTTCCACTTGCACATCAACCGGCAACTCAAGACTCTACATTTCTTTTTACTGCCAGAGAAGGTTTTCGTAACACTACCCGGTTTTTTCTCCTTTTTTTCTCTTCAACATTAAATAGATCGCGCACCATGAGTTTGTGTCCGGGTGTACGCAATGGCAATGTGAATTCCCACTACCATTCGCATCCAGCATCGGCGACGCAGTCCTTTATGGATTTATCCACGGCTGCCGCTGCTTACCGCTACAATCGCAATGTTATGGAATACTATTCTTGTAAGAGTAAGTAGTAAGTGCAAAAGTGCTGCAAATATAGAGCTGGCGCTTTTCCACTACCGTTTAGTTAGCATTAAACCAGCGGGAAGTCAGATTATGTTAAGTTTTCATGCATCATCAGCTTCACTGTCGCGTTGCGGAGAAAAACATGCCTAATTCTCCACTATGCGCGATCTTCTGGCGTATGCGCCGTTGTTAGTTGGTAAAAAGACTCTATATATAATGCGGCCAAGTCATGTGCATCCAATCTGTTAATTTTAACTTGTATCGAAAATACCCGAAAGGTGTTGCAGCATGGCGCAGTTTAGTGGTGTCCATTAATTTTCTGCATATAATTTTGTCCGGCTAGTTAGCTTTCGGCAGTCGGCGGCGGTGGCGCGCGCTACGCTATTCTTTGCGCTACTGGGCGCATAGTAGAGGGCTTTTTACAGGATTACGGTTGCGGAACAGTGACAGCGATTTCCGCGGCCGGTCGCGCGGTTCGGCGCTGGTTTTCTGTGGTTTTCTCCCGCGGCCGAGATTCACCGTTCCGGTACTTTTTACCATTTGACATTACATATGTGGACACTCTCCAGTGCAGTGCGTTTTGTTAGGGATGATATGTGATAAGTATGGTGTGCACGAGTAATTATCCGCCGACAGCGCCGGCTTTTTCGCCGTGAAGGATGGGTATTTAAACATGCGCTGGGACATGACGACGCGCTGCGCTGGGCAAATGACCGGTCTCTGTATATGTGTATATGTGTTGGCCATTTAATGTACGAAGCGTGCTCCACGACTAATGTGGGCTCCCCTACCGAGTGGGGCTTATGAAGTAAGGTTCTGGAAGAGAGCACCTAGGAACCGTAGCGGATGCATGACATGACGGCAACCAATTTTCCTGTTATGCTTTGTTAAACGAACCTACAACACTGTAACCGAGCCCGTATTTTCCCGGTGGTTTACGTTAATTACAGTGCGCTGTGCGCATCAGTAGAATTGTCAGCGTACGCGAAGCAAGTGTTGGTGCTTAAGCACTTAACGGTCAGTCAAAACTCACGCCAAGTAGTAGTTGAACTGCACAATGTTTTGCCAAAAAATTGTATTATGCGAAATTGTGGCAACGTAATTAACGAATGCTGACACTTCATTTATTTGACGACGTCCAGACGTACGCGACTAATAATTTGCAGAATTATTAAGCAAACGTAAAACAAAATTATCAAACAGAATTTTTTTGTTAATAATATTTGACTAATAAGGCTGACATGCCCAACATACATCCATATCTGCAATATTACTTTTATGAACAGATTTTACGTGGTATTCCTGGTCGGCGGGCCGGTGTACTCAGCCTAAAGAAATGTTGACGTGTCGGATGATTTGTGTTTATTTATTTATGGATTCTTTGTGTACAAAGGCTTCCGCGTTGAACGACAATTTGTAGCATATCAATTGCTGTGCCGCCTTGACCAGGTTTATGGACATTTGTCACGTACAGCATAATATAACCCAGTAACTCAATTTACGCATAATGACCGATGCCAAATAGTTAATCTCATACGCAATTATCTTGCTTTGATAAAATTTTATACATGTTAGTATTTTACAAAAGTGAGGTTCCATTCGGGTGGGGCTTAATGTTTAAAACTGCGATCTTATGTAAGTGAAAGCAGTTAAAAGTTGATCCAAATTTATTAGATAAGTCCTCACCAACCTATAGCTGTTGAATATGATGTGACATAGAATATGCATTAGCATGTATCCACGCAAGTGTCACACACAAAGAGTTATTGTATGTTTATGACCGGTAATTATCACACAATAGACACATCATGCAAAATGGTGATTTGTTTAGGGATTGGTAACATTATAGAAGCATAAATGCCTTTTTATGCATATTTAGTTTATCAGAGTAAGATGAAAAATTTATATGATAATCGAAATGCTGTTGACTGGAGTCACCTTAACAAGTTTTTTTTCACCAATCACTGTAAATTTTAAACTATTTTATATAAAATTAAGCAATAAAGTTTAAAGGTTATTCTGCAAGAATCAATATGTGACTCAATGGCAGCACTACCAACCAAGAAAGAAAAGTTTAAAAATTTCCTTGGTGTGTGTTAATTCGAGCTAATGATTACACGGTATGCGGAGCAAGTAGTACTGATTCGGGAGATGTGCTATTATCCATGTAATTACGAAGCGAAGCAATTATGCATGAGTTACTCTTGTCGGTTATTTAATGCGCTTCCCGCAGTTCATCCGATCTGTAATAACTAGGTAACGTGTCAAATCATACAGTGTGGCAAACTGTCATTTTCGCACCGATTTCACACTTTCGCACAGATTGTTCTTAGCTCTGGAACAATATGGCTTGCATGCATGCGCATGATGGGAATAACGGCTGCCGTATGGTCAGTACTAGTGTGACGGGTGTTACTTCGCCAAAGCATTGTCCAATTTGCCTACATTAATCTCAATATAATATTATCTAATTATTGGGTACAACACTAGCAATTTCCGAATCACATAGCTGCATTCTCTCTTTTTAAATAGGTAACTGCTATCAAGCCAAAGTGTCGCATGTAGTGCGATATATGTATACGAACACCAAGCTGTTGATCCAAAAACGATTAACCGTAGTTATGTAACGTACAATCAACGCTGCTTCGTCTACAGAAAATTACAAGTAGCAGCATGCCTTCATTTTCATTTTTGAAGCTCATTGTAAGAGTCGCTGTAGTAAATAAAATTTAGATTGTTTGCCATCCTCAATTGGGAAAATAAAAAAAAAACTGTATTACACAAATCAATTTCTTTAAGGTCATGGCGGAGTCAATCAGCTGGGGGGCATGTTCGTTAATGGACGTCCACTTCCTGATGGAGTGCGGCAAAAGATCGTGGAACTGGCTCATAATGGAGTGCGCCCGTGTGACATTTCCCGTCAACTGCGGGTTAGCCATGGATGCGTCAGCAAGATACTCGGAAGGTATGTAGCGAAAAAACCGGTAAATATGCGTAAAGGAAGTCGTTGTTAATATTTCTACAAATATCAAATCAAGTAACAAATAATTTGATAAACTAATGTTGTGCGATATATTGAGCTGATAGTTATTTCCTTGTACCAAAATTGTAAGTTTGTGTACAGCGAAGTCTAATTAGCTTTATCAAATAAGCGCTATTCTATGAGTATAAGTTTTGAAGGCACTATGTTTGCCAGTTTTAAAACTGACATTTTGCTTCCGATATCTGGCCCTCTGCAACGTTGTCATCCGAAACGATCACACGCAAACAAGCAATGGTCATTTGTCAAAACTTATGAAAGACGCTCTTGTTTTGTGATGTCGGTTTGCGTGTGTGATAAGCACAGTATTTAAGGTCAGATAATTTGCCAGTGAGGTCTATTTTGCCCGGCCGAATACAACGCGGTATCTTCTTCAGAAAAGTCTTTTGATTTTTAAATAAGACACACGCTTATAAATTTAGCCACAGTAGTGCAACATATATAAGAGACAGATTGCAGCGGCAGCGGAGTTGTCGGGCCTGTTATTGAATTGTAAAAAGCGTGAATAGAGAGGGGAATATATATCTGCATGTGTTTTCTTGCTCTGTGAATAGATTGTCTGTCAAGGAAGATGACAGTGCGGCGTTTGATGCTCAAAAGAGCACAAGATATGGACACATGCCGTGCTGCATGACAGAACAAAACTTTTGCATACTGGCATATACATACGCAAGCAGATCAGAGCAGCCTGCTTATAATATACTATACTTTATCTCTTTAAGCGGCTTCTGTTTTTGACCGTATCAAAACATTCTTCATTTGCAACCAAATTAATTTCCACCAATTGGCTCAAACGCCAGAAATATTTGTTTTTATTATAATAAGAATAACTGATGAACGCATATCGGCATGTAATTGTTTATTTGCTTATTTACTTAACTTACGATTTATTTATTTTAGAAACGTATATCTGACATCTGTGCAGCGGTCGTATTACAATTTGAAATATTTGACATAATTTTTCTCTTTTTTGTATTTAATTGACTGTCGCGAGCGGCAATTTCTATAACACACATGAGCACCGCGCCGCACCAACATTGTTGGTGAAATTGATCATATCGCGATTGCATCTAACTGGATTAGGCATAGTCTATAATATTTGCTTTGAAGGCAGTCCGCCTTTGATGATAATCGGGTAAATCCGTTTTTGATATGATTTACAAACATTGCGATTAGCTCCCAGTGCCAGTTTGGAATTATAAGTCATTTATTCACACACACACGTCAGTGACTGCACTTTGTCCTTGCGGCGCCCCGCTGTTACAATAAAATGCGAAAACGCTTCTGTATACACACAGTAGCCGGGCCGGTAAATGAATGCTCCTTTACCCAAAACAATAACCGGAAAATATTTTTCGGACTTAATTTTCGGCTAGGGCAGAGATAGCGGAATATTATCACAGATCTATTGAGCAGAAACGCGTTAAGGGAAACACATGCGCACCGGTTGTTTCCGCCCATCCTTTACACACCCGAAATAAAATACCACAGGTATGACTTTTGCCGCCTCTCTCTGTCACCACGACATCATCATCTGTCTTATACGCTTCACAATGCCGGAACATTTTGCCCTTTCTATATGAAAAATGAAAAGCATCTTCATTCCGTCCTCCTGGATTGAATGGAAGTCATTTAGTCATCCGGTGTCCCTTTCTCCATTAAATAAGAAAACCACTTTCTTTACCCGCACTTCGTCGCTTATGAAAAGGTGTCGAGCAGTACATACATATGCCCGGAGAAATATTCTCCAAAAAGATACGACATTCAATTATCGCCCAGAGGGATAATGGCAGGGCATTCTCCTATAAGTTGATTGATATACTCATTCGCACTATTCCGATATTTGTACACAGTGGAAATTAACAGTCAACTGCTTTCTAATGCCGACCGGTATCATTGAACAATGGAAGACGACGCTGACTCTGTCGGTCAACACTTTAGCCGGCTTTTGTCATAATGTGTTCGTAAAAGACAGGGAAATTTTTTCCATTATAGTATGCTGATGCGTATGTCATAGAGTGGAAGTCAATCATAGAGACAACATACTTCTTTTGATGCTTCTGTATTATATGTATTTGTATGTGCGCAGATATTATGAAACGGGATCTATCCGACCGGGTGTCATCGGCGGATCAAAGCCGAAAGTGGCTACGCCCAAAGTAGTGGAACATATCGCCAACTATAAACGTCAGAATCCGACCATGTTCGCATGGGAAATTCGGGATCGTCTACTTGCAGATGGGATATGCGATCAAGATAATATTCCCAGCGTTAGCTCCATTAATCGGTATGTGTATCTAATCAATTGGGCTGCAAAATCAAAGAAACTGATATCGATACATATACTCGTATATATGCCATAGTGCTGAACGCGGCAGCTACACTTAATTGTAGCCGCGACGACGGTTCAGTACGCTTTCATTAGCCTTTCATATCTTTTCATTAATCACATTAAACTGACAAACCCCGCGAAATTAATCATACGCACAGACCTTGAAATGTGTCACCAGCGTATGGAAAATGTTGCAAAGAAGTATGCGCAATGTCGCCCCCAAAGGTCAATCTGTGTTATATTGCTCGTATTGCTCTGTACATAATATAACCATCACATCAAATGCTGGCTCGTGATTATTTTATGAGCTGCGTCCCGTTCATTTTCCCACGTATAAAACCCCATTCAGAAATACAAGCTGCATTGTTCAGTGGAATGTTTGTGTGAGATTGTAAAAAAGCAAAAAAAGCATCCGTAATGACGGAAGAGCTTACCGTCAAAAAGGAGCAGGCCAACTAGTGCAACGTGACTTTTCGAAAAAAATACACGCTTTTGAGCGGTGTTGTACATGCTTGACGAACAAAGTCGATAGGCGATTTTCTTATAACTGCTCGGATCATAAAGAAAATGTCCATCTTGATAGCGAGAAAACACTATCATATCAAAACTGTACAATCTCACATTAAAAACCATAACGCAAAGATTGAAAATTTTTAATGGCGATGGTGAATAATAAAAGCTCTAAGTCGTAACGGTTGGTTTATCGGTTATATTGAGCCTGTAATCAAAGAGACAAATGGTCATAATATGTACTAGTCAAGCATTGTACACTTCTTCATACAAACACACTGCACTGTGCGTTATCTACACACTAAAAGAGTGACGTCCGGGTAAAAGGGAATGTGACAGTTTTGGCTGAGATTTTACGGGACTTTTCACGGTTTGCACTATGTTTTCGCATCATTCATTTTAATTCAGCTTGAAGCTTATATAAAAAGATCAATCAGTTGGGTTTAATGTGCAATGGAAGCACTGGCACGGAAATAATGCCCAACTCAATTGGATCAACCAACGTTCGGCCTCTCAAATCTGCATATCTGACGATGCTTTGCAGTGTATTTGTATATACGCACTGGACATTTTACCCGGCAAACGCCACCGAGATCTGAATAAACAGATTTTGTGAATAAACAGTAACACCCAGCGGGTGACCGACTGTGAATGTGTTAGCACAGGACAGTCGCCAGCCGAAAATCTGATCTGATACCTTACCAAACGCAAAGTGGATCCGCAATAAGACCATAAGCTTTGAAAACTAAATCTGCAAAAACGAATTTTTTAGCTCTCATATCTAGAGTTTAAAAAAGGAATATATGTTTCAAAAGCTAGATAAAATCTGCCAAGAATATTCCGGTGCATGCTTCGGCATTACGTTATATATGCAAAGGTCACACAAAATACTAATGCGCGCTTGAAATCGGTCAAAGGGATTTATATTCTATTGAATCCACTTCAAATAAAATAGAACGCCTATTTTATGGATTTGCCAGTGAGAGTTACGACATTTTACTCAAAATCGATATCTGATTTTTTTATAAATTTAGAATCGTGCGCAATAAAGCAGCCGAGAAAGCCAAAGGAAGTGGTTTGGGTTTCCATTCCGGATCTCATCACACCAACCTAAGTACGCCAAGTCCACAAGGAACTCCGGGCCTGACGGCACATTCCCAGTCGGCGGGCACGGGAATCTCGGGCAATCCACTCGGCGGAAATCAGCCAACGCAAAATGCTAATGCCGCTTATTCGATTAACGGCATTCTGGGAATGGATCCATCCAGTATGAAGCGCTCCAAACGCAATGATGGTAAGTTAGCGTTTCCACGTGCTTTGTAGTTCGTAAAAAATAAAAATCGTAGATAATTTATAAAATCGTAGTTAATTTATATCTTGTCAGTATCAACTCATTACTTGTATCAGGGTTTATTTTTATTTTTTTACAAACTGCATATGATTTACTTGAATGAGTTTTCTAAGTATAGCGGAAATCTGCATTTTGTGGCATTTCAGTCGTTTACTAATATAGAGTGTCTGCAATTAGGGTCAATTTTTGAATTAATTTTCCAGATTTGAAATGGTTAAGCATATCGCGACATGAGATTGTGTAAACGTTGGTAACTTATGCCTTTGACGGCTGAGGTCGGATTAGAGTCAGAAATATAGACAGCAAACACTGTATTACAAAGCGATCAGGCTTCGATGTGGTCATCAGTGGCGCTCAATCCTTGATGAAAGGAGATTTGCTAGGGCAGTTAAAAGGATTATCGAGCGATTTTAAACTGCTGCCGTCCAGCCCCAGCGCTGTTTTCCTTTTTAATCGCAGCATCCATCAATCTCTTTGACGAGCGGACAAATTCAAATATCCTCAAACAAAAATACAATCATACAGATAAAAGTATACCACAGGGAAATGCATGTACAGACTGCGATATGCACGCGTCTGTCATATCAGGCTTTTAAAACATCTGACTTCGCTTTGAATACTTCGAATCGGTACTATTATGTACACCGCATAAAAACAGATGCTTAAGCTTTTTAATTGCCAATCTAGAAAATTGCATAATTTTTCGTACTAGCTAAGAGAAATTTCACTTGCTGTACTGCTGCATAACACTTAAAGCATAATGCTTCAAAAAGCGAAAACTTTTTTGTTGCAGTGCATTAAGAGCAACAATTTATTAAAGGAACAAGCAAGAAGGAAATACAGCCCTCCAATGGAAAAAATAAGCAATTTCAAAACGTTGACTGTAATTCTTACTCAGTAAAAATAGTTATAACAGTACGACAAGTGCCAGTGTGGCTGACGCCACTTACTCCACCAAAGTGGCACTACAGAGTACATTTTTCAATTGTAGTAGCAAATATGTTGTTGACCATGTCAATACTGTAGATGAGCAGAGTGACCACTGGACACCCTAATGAATGTTGAAATAGAGTGAAATATATGTACTCCCAACTTTCGTTAAAGCTAATCATATTAGTCATGACTGCTTTTAACTATCGTAAATAATAATGATCGTTATCTTTTGTCATAAAATTATCATGACAATTCGCTGTCAACTAATTCCCAGAAGGATTCACAGGAACACTAATTATCAACGACAGCTACGCGCCACAAAGCCAGTAAACTCAAATGTTCTTTCGGAAGCATCATATTTTACAATTGATTTACATTGATATGTTTTTTGCACAGCGACGCCGCATCTTGTATAACTATTGCATGGCATAAATTTTGTAAACAGTGTCGTCTTGACTTTTGAGTGAAAACTCTAAACCTAAGTAATTAAATCAAATGTTTAAGTTTTAAAAAATTTATTAAGTTTTGGTACGTGCTACTAATAAACCAGATCACTAACGATTTTTCAACGCATGCAGGAATAAAGTATTAACGGAATTAATATTAAGTGTATGCTTTTTGTACCGCGGTCCGCAACAACCATCTGTACAGTAGCATTTGCTTTCCTTTTAGCTTGCTTGTTGCGGTTGTAGCAGCGCGATCGTTAGCCGAACAAAATTTAAAATATGAAAAATAGCGGTCACTTTTGAAAAATGATCGAATTTACATTTATCGGCTGCGATCTGGTTGTGCCGATAGTAGTACAGCTGTGAAATATGATCTGGTTCTATGCAATGCCGCTAGTAAATTAACTGTGATCAAGATTTAATTGGCCGCCGCTGAGTTCGGTGTGTCAATGCTTCAAACGCATATCATAGCGCTATGATTGACGTCCATTCCTTATCATCAAATAGATCATGTCGTTTCGTGTATGCCAGTCCACTTTTGCAACTAATTCTCTTATTCTCATAATTAATAAAAGAGCATGTTGCAGATATTACGGATAACGGATCCACTGCATCACCCGGTGCGGAAGAGACATCCAAACGACAGCAAAGGCCGATGTTTAATGGTGAACACGGCTTTTCGGACGTTCAACAGCAGGTAAATCACCACTTCAACCACGGATGTGCCATTCGTATCCGCCTAACAGTATTTTTCTATCGATTTAAAACGCATTTATTTATATTTCCAAAGGAATATATATAAAACTTTAAGCAAAGTAGATCTTTTCAAGTGAAGTAATGAAATTATAATAAATTCGTGTGTATTTCAGCTGTGGTATTCGGATAAATGTTCGACTGATATGCATAAATCAGCAAATGAAAACCTGGTGAATGGAACATCGGTTGGTTACGCTCTGCATCCGGCATACAGCGCCTCAACTGCCGATCCAGCACTGTATTCCCACACATCGTCCTCGCATCATCACGGACCAACCGTATTTTCGGCACTTGGCGGCGGCTCGCTAGGCTCATTAGGCGGCATGGCGGGTGAAATGAAGTCTGTGATTTCACCAGGAGGTGGTCTTCTCGATGGCCACACGGCCGGAAGTCTCGCCTACCAACAAGGTGAGTGCCGCTACGTAAAGGTCATGGATGTTGTTACGTTACTGTCCCGTCTTTGCTTGTGTCTTTCACCTGTCCGTACTTTAATGCTGCATGCTGTTATATTATTTGAACTGCAGTTACGTTTGCAAGGTTTTATGTTAAATGTTTTAAGTTTGATTGCTTGCATGTTTAGGCAACCTTAATCCTAATTCTTCCTACACACATAACCTTTCCACCCATTCCTCAATTAACGCCACATCCAGCTTATCGGATAGCATGCCGATAAGCAGTGCGGCTACCCTGACTTTATTACAACCTGTCCAGAATGCTTATTGCACACCTTCAGTTGCACATGCACATGCACCTTACGGAGCTGTTCCCGCTGTTTACCCTACAGGTCCTTTTTTATTTGTTATACTAATTCTGATTACATTTTTAATCAAATATTCTGACATCATGGTTGTAATGTTTGCAGAGTATTCGTATGGCCCGGCTTCCGCATACACACAGTATTCACCCGCAGGATATCCGCCGGCTGATAACCCATGGGCACGATATGCGGCAGCGTCCACTGGCATTTTGAGTACGAAACGCTATGCTAGTTAACGTGACCTTTTCAAATTAACTAGTTAAATTTGCTAACGTAATTATGCTGATTTTTTTCAGTAGCGTCAGTTTGATAGTAATCGCAGTTATGAAACAAAAGTTTTAAATTGCAGATCCATCGTATTATTACCAACCAACGGCTCGAACCGGAAGTCCGTCTCTTTTCAAGGCAGAACGGTGTTAAAATTTTTTCATTTGGTATTGATTACACACATCACAATTATTACACAGAGAAGCTGTGTTTTTTGTTATACGTTGTGGCTACCAACTGCCAAAATGCAGCTTTAACAGAAGTCTCTCAAAAGTTTTTAGTTCCTGTTGTTTTGTATTATTTAATTTCCATAACCATCTTCCATGATTTTGGAATTATCAACCACACAATGTGAACCGGAAAAGCGAAATAATTGTCAACTGGATGGGAGGATGCCATGGCCTAATGCTGCCTGAATTAACTATGATCTGCTTATGGATGCATCATTACTCGTGAATTTCTGCCGAGGATGGATCCTCCCTGAAATTTTCCACTATTCCTCGTTTTGGCCTTCTACTCTTGAGTTTCTCTGTCGTGCGTAAACTTCATGCAATCCATTTGTCCATCATCCGTGTCCAAGAAAATTGTTGTTTTTGCATAATGAACGGTCAAATAACTGATCTCTGCGTTCCTTATATATATGGCTGAGGTTAATCTGGTTACGATTATACCGGTCAGGCCAGTGGATGAGAGCCGAGCAAATGCAAACGGAATGGAACATCACAGATCAAAATTCTGCAACTGGATGGGAGTTTTTGAATTTTTGTTGCATATAATGTTAATGACGTTTTTTGGTGTTCTAATGTGTATTTTGTGCTCTGCATGACCTTATCCGCATGTTAACCAGTGAATGGATCAAAATGTCTTCCGGTATTTCTGTAGCTACAAATTTACAATATAATCAAACACTGCTGGTAATGAAATAAAGCATATGCCTACACCTGTGTTATAGCTATTGTATTTCTGATGAACAGTTAAACAATATATTTTTCTGTTGGATACTTTTTCTGTAGTACGACGAGAGCAAGATGTCTGCTCTCGTACGACGTTATGCAGCACTAATATCTACGAGTATGGCAGCTTACAACAAAAATATATGTATTTCACATGCCTTTACCATAATTATACTTAGTATATCGTCGGTATTACGATAAAAAATCTCGTCACGGTATTACGGTATTGCAGAAATCTCATCTCCTCGTGCCAATATTCGTGGTAAAACAAACAACTTTTTACTAGTTCGTTTTTCTCCACCGTACAGCACAACATTTTCAAATAAAATCCATTTATAAGAGACCAGTGACAAAATAACCATAAAACGTCTATTGGACAGTAGTCACCGTACTCAAAAACAGACTGCAACGCAACGTAATAAAAAAATATACTGGCAACTATAAACTTTGCTAAACTTGAAGAAATATCGACATCAACCTACCGGTATGCAAGAGTTTACAACGAAATAGCGACCAACGCACCGCAACGTAGGCAATCAAACATGTAGTAAAAAGGTAACTAATGTAAAATACAGATTCAAACGTAAAAAAGGTTTAAAAACCAAAGCAGTTGTGGTTAAAAGAATTAAAAACCCATCGGCGCAAGTCCGTTAAAATGATGACCGGGCATCGTGCCGGCACTGGGATCCAGTGAAGATCCAGCGGAAAAACTTTGACCATCCCCCACAAATACGTCGTTGCCATCAGAAAATACTTCGTCACTCATAATTGGACTGTAGAAAACGTTATCCGAAGGGCTTTCCTGAGTCGGGAAATTTCTGTTGCGCATTACAGACTGCAAAAAAGGAATCATGAAACGTAAAACTGCAGAGGGGTAACACAGAATTTCATTTCACCATCGAGAATGGCCAAAACACGGAAACACTGGAATATACTTATTGTAATAAAAATATATGTAAGGGCGTCGTAACATGTGCATACTACATACCAGTACGTCTTCAGCCTTCTCAATGCAAGACTGAATGCATGGAGTACTTATCGATTTCACTCGGACTTACAGGGTTCTGTTCGTAACCTTCGCTTTTGATGGATACAGGCGATATAGACTCTTCTTCCGGTTCCGGATCATTTTCGGAAACTGGAGCAGGTGAACTCCCAGAGATACCAGAAGATAAGCTTGATACACTTCGAGGTCGATTTTCTGCGATAGCTGTAGCATGTCGTTCGGCTTTGGCACGGACTTTGTCCAAAATAAAACCGGGAATGGTAAATTCTTTCGCTCCGGCAAGTTTTCCTCGTGGCACCGACGTATCTTGCCGGAGGATTTCCCGAATGTCCTCCGCAATCACCAAAAAAGCTTTCCCACCAGCTGCTGTCATGATTTTGTTTTCAAAGAACCATACTTTATCTTCGGAATCACCAGCGTACTAAAGAAGAACATGTAAAAAACTGTAGTAAAAAGCAACGATTTATACTCGCCCAATAACCATTACGTACTTTAAAGAGATCAGGATGCTTGGCATATATTCGACCACGAGCGCTTTCAAATCCCAACACCCTAATTAAATCAAGTACAAGGTCATCTCCGTAGAAAATCTCTGTGTATCGAACGCATTTCATACTTGTTAGCTGAAGATCCTAACATAAATTTGGTATCCTGGGGCAAGTTGAAAAGGTCGACAGTGCTTTTGAAGGTTTTCAAAATCCCTTCCGGCTGTGGATTTTTCCTCGGGGCACTAAAAGAAAATCAGATATTAACAATTATTAAAACAAAATGGTTGAATTATTAAGCAGGCACTTTCAAAATTTGCTAAAGTAATATAAGAGGAAAATCAACGCCACTTTCACGACTGCTTATTTAGGCTGGATAACTCTACCGACGAAACACCGTGGAACAAGAACGCAGTATGTCTTACCCTCGAGGGCGCTTTGGTTGTTCTGTTTTGAGTCGTTTGGCCGACGATCCGCCACTGGAATACGAGTCGCCCCCATCTGACTCTCGCCGATTACCGTAACGAGCAAACGGCTCCTGCAGAACTTCCGCTTCGGAAATGTTGCTGTACGGACTCGTAGAACGAACAACCGCCGGAGTGATAACAACAGGTGGTGGTGGCGGTGGGGCCGGTTCGTACATTTTCTTTGCTTCATCTAGAATTTTGCACAGCGCCAAATTCAGTAAGTTATCGCTCACGGCTTCATGTCCGCTATCATTCCGCAAATTTTTTATAGCTGGTTCCAAATAATCCTGCAAAGCAAACGATGCTGGAATTCTTTATCGATCCGTGCAATTCTCTCGTTCATACGGCTCAACTGCATTGCTTTCTTAGAAAAGCGAAATATCAGAAATGATGAGCAGTAATACAGAGTAATTAAAAAATCAATAAAAAAAATTTATATTCAATTCGAATATTGTTAGTACATAATATGCATTGACAAATAATTCTGCTATAAATGCGTGTACGAAAAATCGAAACAAACTTAGCTCTTGCGTCATAACACTGCTAACTATGAAAAATATATTCGCACAGACGATACTCTACCTTGGCGTATTTTTGCAGAATTGCGTCAAAATCCTGATTGATATACTTTTGGATGACAACGCGCACGGCATCCAGACTTTTCAGAGCGCTAGGCTGCGAGCCATGATGCTTCATTCCTCTATACAGCGTGCTGGAGACAGCCGCATGCGAACGGCTTGTGCGTCCGGAAACAGCAGCTGCAATACTGGCGTTCACACTGTTGGAAGTCCTCTCGTTGTAGGGCCAAAACTGCAAAAAAACGGCACCATTCTAAAGCATTTTAGCAAAACATTTATTAAAGATAATCGTAGTAAACCAAATAAGAATTAAGGCCAAATAAGAATTAAGGGTTAGGACAGCTGTTCCAGCAAACAACTCTGCAATGATCACGCTCAAACTGATCAATCACATCCATGATGCAGCAGTTTAAAGAAGGCAGATCACCACGCAAACGCAAAAGACTATGGTTTATCAGAGCATGCAATCCAGTCCAGTTGCTTACCGGACGTTCCAGAAATCCCTGTCTACGTTCAGCAGCTTTTAGGGCATTCGAATTATTGTCCCGTGATCCAGAGGACTTCTCAGCAACCATAGCTGCATTCGCGTGAGTCATTATAGTTATGATAAATTATAGGAAAATGCATAACAACGACCGAAAACGCTTTGCGTTAAATTGTGCAGTATCTAGCAAAACACAGCAAAAGTTCAGACAATAAACGTCTGAATTAAAAACTAAACAGCTTTAAAAGCTAAAACAGTTTCAGACATGCAAAACCAGCTTTGTAAAACTCGAAAACTAATGAACGGTGTATCAAAAGCTTTGATTTTCCGATTTGCGGAGCATGGGCCTGGAAATGAATGAAATCATTAGCTTTCTGGATGAATGTAGAATGATTCATCCGATGACATAACAGCTAATCGTTGCGTACTCGGAGTCGAAGTCGAGTCAGACTTACGTCACTTCCGGTTTCGAAATTTTTGTTACGTAGCAGTTTGCAACTGTTTGTGGAAAACAGCGGAAACGGGAAATCAGAAAACAACATATTTTTTCGTTTTTCGGTTTTGTAATTACAAAATTCATCAGGTTTTACGTTTTCATATAAAATCAGTACGAATAAACTGCTAGCTGAAGTGAAGGTTAATGATTTGATATCTTTTTAAGTTTTGCTGGTAGGGCAGGTTGCTTGATAATCTGCCACGGTTAAACTTGATCACATTTTGCTGCGTGCACAGCTGCAGGGAACCAAAAAGATTGAACAGAGCTGTTGCCATCGTGGGACGGAGATTTCCGATTGCTGACTGGTGTCTGCTAGTACAATGGAAGAAGGTTCTGGCGATCAGATGTTCGAAGAGGAATACTATGAAAACAGCGATCCGGGATCAGATGGTGACTACGATGCAGAGGGGGATGGCGACGCGGATTTCAACAGTTTTGAAAATCCACAAGCCAACCCCGAGGGGTTTCCTGTTCTGCGGATTAGCGATCATATGCGACCACCGAAGATCCGTCCCGTAAATCCCGTCCTGCCAGACACCGTGACAATGCTCGAGCATGCTCCTTCCGGTGGTAGAGTTTATATTGTAAGTACAGCACACGAGTTCGGGCAGCGTTTTTCCAACTTGAGTTACCGACAAGAACACTGCCCGAATCTGCGAGTCGGTACCTTCATGTTTGCAGCCATTAAAATCTGAATCCTTTTTATAATCCTTTAAATTGCTTGTAGGTTGCGTCTCATGGGATTTTTTTTTGTTTTCTTCGCTTGCCATAAGAGTGATTGTTATGTCCGTTATTAATCGTTTTTTGGATATTTGTGATCGTTTCATCGTTCCAGTTTCGCTGCATTAATTAAGTTGCAATATCGAATTTTGCAGAGCCACGCTACATAGTTTTGGAATAGTGCTAGATTTTCAGATGAAATCGGGCATTTCTTATTGCACAAGTTAATTATTGAGATGCTTTATAGGTGGGAACCGCGCATTTCGGAGAAAAAAGTCAGGAAGACGTCGCTCTGACGATTCGGACGCTCACTCCGGATTTCGTGATTCTGGAACTGTGTCCAGGTAAAATTTTAATTTTACAGTATTTCCTTTCTTTGCATACCAGTGAGACGGAATTATCCTGGAATATTTTTGCAGAACGGAAAGCCATTTTAACTGTAGATGAAGATGCAGCCCGAAGTGAACCGACCATGGAAGACTTGAATTTAATGGCCAAACAGATCGGCTTTTCACAAGCTGTTATGCAATTTTTCTTGCTAAAATTATCAGCGCATTGCACAAAGAAATTAGGGATGATTCCGGGTGGTGAAATGCGCTCTGCATATCGGGAAGCTGTGAAAAACCCCGACTGCATGGTATTGCTCGGTGATCGACCAATCAGCATTACGCTGAAACGTGCCTTTGGTGCCTTATCATTATGGCAAAAAATCCAGTTTCTCTGGGTAATTATGAGGGAAATGCGAACGGATATCAGCCAGGAAGATGTGGAAAAATGCAAAAGCAGCGATGTTTTGGAGGAGTTGATTGATAAATTATCCGCGGAGTTTCCCACGTTGCATCGCGTGCTGGTACACGAGCGGGATTTATTTTTGGCGCAGGTGTTGAAGAATTCCGTGTCGAAGATGGTCATGACCACGGAAGGTCCACAGGGCAGTGTGACGGTGGGCGTCGTGGGAATAGGCCATGTCCCGGGAATTAAAAGAGCGTGGAGCAACGAACTGCTTTCGCACGACGAACTGAGAAATCTTTTGGCCATCCCGCAGCCGTCCCGATTGCAAGTTTATACTTCCAGGATAGTTATGGTGTCGTCGCTGTTGTTATGTGGATATGGGGCGTATCGTGGTGGGAGATTTCTGTTTAGTCGACTTCGTCCATTGAAATTTTTTTGAAGTTTAAACATCTTACTTTTCGTAATTCTACCTGGCTGCCTTTTCTTGTATTCATGATATATTTTCGATGCAGTTTTACAGCATTCCGTGATATAGTCACAAGTCTAACTTTTCATGATTGCAGAAATACTAATATTCATGAATAAAAATTGAAACAGATCTTGACTACGTTTTGTTCATGAAAACTTTATACTTTCGGGATGTTCTTTTGCACAGTTTGTTACTGCTTGAAACCGTGAAAGTGACCTTGGGTGTCTACACTCGAAAATACTCTGATAGCCCACTATCGGCACCATTTTGTTTACTTTTTAGTAAGAAAAGAGCACAGATATGGCGGTGCGATGGTGTGGCGAAAGTAGATTACAATGGGGCAAAGGGCGACGTTTTGTTGTCATCTTGCGAAAAGGCACGTGCGACAGCGTTGGCGATATAATTATCTTGCTGTTCACTTCTGTCAGTCCAAATTATTGCCGAAAATCTCCGGAAATTTTATAGCGTTGCGGTGACTTATTTCACAGCTGTAGTGCTCAAATGCTGCTATCCTGAACAAAAATGATTATCTTGCCGGTATTAATTCTTGTGATTTCTGCGGTACATTCCGCCGTTGTTCCAAATCATGTTCACAACAAAAATATAAAGCATCATAATTTACATTCGGACAACGGAACTATTCCCACCCAGGTTCATCTTTCTTGGGACGGTATGGAAAATGTTGTCGATTTTCGGTCTAGGCTGATTTGCGTGTACATAATTGTGTCTTGTGACAAGACATACGTAACTGTGTTTAACAGGCGATGCAACGCATATGGTAGCAACATGGAGTACACCGGAAAATTGCGCAACCATCGTTCAGTATGGACAGGACAAATCCAGTCTGAATCTGCAGGTTCATGGTCACGAAACCAGTTTCCGCACCGGCGATTATTATCAATGCGAACAATTTATTCACCGAGCAATCCTGGTTGACATGATCCCTGGAACGGTGTACTGTAAGGCGGTTATTATCATAATTTCTTATTAATTGTGCGATTTGCTCTTGTAAATTATTGGTAAATTAAATCGATATCTGCAACTCACTGCCGTGATGAACTGTCAGGACATTGGAATATGGGTTGCTTTGATAGATTATCGAGTGGGTGATGGAAAACAGTGGAGTAAGATTTTTAATTTCCGTGCCTTGCAATCTGGAGAAAACTGGAGTCCTCGTTTTGCTATATATGGCGATTTCGGCTATGATAACGCTCAGTCACTGGACCGATTGACGAAAATTGTCAACAACGGCGAGATTGACATGATTATCCATGTTGGTGATTTTGCTTACGATATGCAGAATGACGATGGTAAATACGAGTACTCCTACTATAAATTCAAAAGAATTAATGGTTATAACGTGCCGGTATTGCCGCAAAATTATTGCGGTTATCGTACATCGTACTTCACGAGAAGCTTATGGAAATTAGCATTACTCACTTAATCCGTTGGCTGCAGTTATTAGGATATTAGGTATAGAACTATACATGATTATTGTTGTTTTATTTGATGTAGGTCGTGTTGGAGACGCCTTTTTACAGTTAATTGAACCGGTAGCAGCGTATGTTCCATATATGACAGTTGTCGGTAACCATGAGGAATACCGCAACTTCACGAATTATAAAAATCGGTTTACTATGCCGGGAAGTGAAAACGGATTTTATTACCGGATCACCGTTGGTCCGGCCAATTTCGTTGTCTTCTCCACGGAATTCTACTTCTACGTGTACTACGGGATGTGGCAAATCGAGAAACAATACAGCTGGTAAAGGCCTTTAAAGGAACATTAACGCTTGTCGAGCTCGCTCGCGATCATTTGTTGCCGCTTGTGGATGCCGGGGCAAGTGATCATGGTCAGCCTGGGTGATGTCCAGACGACGCACTGAAGGGCGGTCGCCGGTCACCAGGTGTATGATACGAGCCGCGCCGGACACCCCTTTAATCACCATAAATGAACAAATTCACAGAATCAATGGCAAATGAACACAGAATCAAGGAAGAATAACGAAAAAACAAGCATCCGCTATGCGGGTATACGGTAAGACGCATCTGCTGTGCGTATGAACATGAGAAGTTTGAGGACGCATCTGCTGTGCGTATGTCGTATAAATATGAGGACGCATCTGCTGTACGTATGAACATGATGATAACGCATCTGCTGTGCGTGAAAAAGCGGCGGGAGGGAGGGCTGCATTTTTTTCTGGTCGCGAAATAATGAGTTTGTGAATGACAACATGTCCGTGGAGCACGCTGAAGGGAGCTTCCGGTGTTGCCTAGACACACTCGCTCGCTCTGCGTTAATCTCATTTAACGCTTGGGCGTTAAATGCTATTAACGCTTGTCGAGCTCGCTCGCGATCATTTGTTGCCGCTTGTGGATGCCGGGGCAAGTGATCATGGTCAGCCTGGGTGATGTCCAGACGACGCACTGAAGGGCGGTCGCCGGTCACCAGGTGTATGATACGAGCCGCGCCGGACACCCCCAAACCGACAGGCAGCCCCCAACCGCGCGCGGAAGACAGAGAGAACAGGGAAAGAAAAGCGAAACAGATCTGCAATACGGCATACAGGAATGTAGTCGAAAAGTTACAGGAAATTGCGAAATTAAACAGATGAAGAGACTAAAACTCAGTGGAAAGGAATGGAAAGAGGTTGGGCACAAACAGTGTGCAGAAAAATTTCAGCTGATGTGGGGCAGTGAGGAATGGGCGACAGGAAATGGTTTTCGCATTGCGGAGGGTTGCACGGAATGGTAGGAACCGCAATATACAGCAGTAGAATGGCCAAAGGCTACGGGACATGGCGTGGCAGCGCGTTGGTTTTTGAAATCCCAGGTGGTGTAATGTGATCCCAGGAAATCGCATGTAAAAACATGCAAAACAAATGCGAATGATCTGCCTGCACTGGCTACATATTATTGCAGTACGAATAATGATCATGAGAGATCACGTACAACTTACAAGTACTAATTGCATTATAATATTGTTACAAATTAGCGTTATGCAAGCAAACAAACATTAATTATTATTATGATAAGAACTGAGTACGTATGCAAAGTTGAAAACCTTATGTATATATAATTTAATAATTATACTTAATGTTCAGAAATATTCGGTTAATTAGACAATCTTAAACCTCATGGTATCGAACTTTGATAATATTCTGGTCGCGAAATCGCATTTTTTTCTGGTCGCGAAATAATGAGTTTGTGAATGACAACATGTCCGTGGAGCACGCTGAAGGGAGCTTCCGGTGTTGCCTAGACACACTCGCTCGCTCTGCGTTAATCTCATTTAACGCTTGGGCGTTAAATGCTATTAATTTAGTTATATAAAAATATTAACCTGGTTATGGTACTTATTGAAGCCTGTTAATAAAATAAATTCTCATAGGCTGGAACATGAACTTCGGTGGCTAAATGATCCGGAAGTACGGGAAAGTGCTCCGTGGATTATCACTCTTGGACACCGGCCAATGTATTGCAGGTATGTACGATAGAACCGTACAAGTACATAATTATAGAATATTTCGGTACAGAGAAGTGTGTTTGAGTTTGAGGAAGTTTAGAAATATTCATCCAATAAATTGTTTTTACCGCAATTTCCAGTAACGACGACAAGGATGACTGCACAATGCACGAGAGCATAATTCGCACGGGCATGCCGATACTGCACACGTGGCCATTAGAGAAACTGTTTTATCGATACGGAGTGGACATGTGTATTTGGGCGCATGAGCATAGCTACGAGCGGTTGTGGCCGGTTTATGATCGAAAAGTTTACAATGGTTCAAGTAATCCCGATAATGCTTACGAAAATCCGAACGCTCCCGTGCACCTTACTAGCGGTTCGGCGGTACGTAACGATATTACATAGAATGGTTATTACATACTACTACAGTACAACAAAATAGTCTCAGACTTCGACTCTTACGAGTATAATAACTACTTACGCGCGATTGTCGTAAGCAATCACGATGCCTTAATTATACTGTAGTCCACCTCCTCCACATATATTGCGAGCAGGCTTTTTCAATTGTTTTAGTATCCCGGTGCTTATGGTTAAGTTTGCACTGCCTTAATTTACGTTTACATTGTCTGCACTGCCTTATTGCTCATTAGTCATTATCTATCTAACCATTTATGTTCTCCAGGGTTGTAAGGAAAAGCACGATAATTTTATAAATCCGGAAGCATGGAGTGCATTCCGAAATAACGACTACGGTTTCATGGTGATGCAAGTTATTAATAAAACGCACATCGTTACAGAACAAGTATCGGATGATCAGGTAAAATAATACTATTAATTAAATATCATTTAAAAAACTGAACAATCATCAATTGTATAATATACGTTTTATTTTGCAGAGCGGGACCATCATTGACAAGATTACAATTGTGAAAAATACTCACGGACCATACACACAAAATAAGCCTTAGACGAAACTGCAAATGCACTTTTTTATGCGAGTTGTTACTTTGTCCTACGTTTTACAAAGCATGACAGTATTCTTTTTTAGCCTGAAATTATCATTCTGACTGTGATTAAACATTTTCGATTAATATCAATTATCAAATACCCCTGAACGAGTTATATCAGATTCGCTGTCGTAAGGTTCAAACGATCGTATGCTGTAATTAGCCAGTATTTTGACTGGCGAGTTTTCCTTCCTTCCGCATTTTCTGCGCCAGTTCGTACGGTGGGTGAATCGGCGGTTGGACCGGCGCATGGTGTTGGTATTCTTCCCCTTCCTTCAGAGTCAACGGATACGTGCGATCAGCATCATACGCTTCTTCTCCTCCACAAGCAACAAATGGCACTGGTTTAAGAGATGCCAGTTTACTCAACAAATCAGGTATCATCGGTGCTAGGAAATCTTGAACACGTCCGGTAAAGTCGATCGGCGGTGTGTATTGCTCGCACACAGCAAAAGCTTCCAGGCTTGAATCACGGCTGCACTTCGGCCTGCAATTAATACGCCAAAAAATACGAGTACTGCTAAAAAATTATGTATACTAAATTTTTCAATTTGCTGCCATAAATTTAATAAAAAATTCTGGGGAGGGTTACGGCTTCACGGTACAGAAAAAATATTGCCTACTTGGCTATTGTCACTTTGCCAAAAAACTGCGAAAGTAGTGTAGTCAACATGGCAATCTTCGGTCCACGGAAGACTTTAGCCACCATTGTCCCACCGGTTTTTAGAATGCGCGTACTGATATCCAGTGAAGCCATGACCAACTGATGCTGAATGTACTCATCAATATCAACCAAACCAATAACATCCGGAGCTCCGTCGCACACCACCAGGTCAGCGCGTTGTCCATCGAAATACCCGATGACCTGCTCGGCCGTTCTCGGATCGGTAATGTCGCCTTGCAGCTGGATAACGCCTTCAATAGGTGTCATCAATTGCAGATCCACAGCAACTATTTTGGCTGTGCTGGCACATTCCCTATCCGCTTCGGAATATAGTTGCCGGGATAAAACCTGGCTCCAACTGCCGGGTGCTGCGCAAAGGTCAACAACCATTTTCACATCCCGAAATATATTGAATGTTTCTTGGATTTGCAGAAGTTTAAAGGCACTTCGCGCCCGCCATCCTTGCTCTTTGGCAAGCCGGTAATAAATGTCTCGTTTATCCTTCGATGATTTACCCATACCGAAATTGATTCAGGCGACAGAGAAAAAAGGCAGTCCTGTAGAAATCTGAATAAACATTCAAAAAGGTAAGGAATCCAAGGGCATAAGCACCACTAGCAAAGCAAAGCTGACGGCAGTGTAAGCAAACCGAGAATTACTATTTTACTGCTGAATCGATAGTTTACCAATTTTGTAAACGAATTGCGTTGATTACTTAAACAACAATCTTTTGAAGGGAACTATTGCACCACTGCCGAAAACTAGCGCCGGAACGGAAAAACGCACACATTTTGCTTGAAATTTATTTATTACTACGCATAAAAATTCCACGAGTCTACGTACTTCAACAGTTTGTGCTTTGTGGATAACAAACTGTTCAACCAAATTTCACCAATCTCGGTTTGTAATTACAAAAATACATTCTGGCAAACTAAAAAAATAACAACGATGGTGCTTTCCATAGACCTTCTAGTCAGCTACCGGGCCAAAATTGGCCTGGACGGGACAAAATTGGCAGTCACTAATGCCGGCCAAACACATACCTATTAACAATCATAAAATAACATAACAAATCTAATATCATGCGTGATCCAAAGACTTCAACAAATCCGTTAACGGTGGAATGCGGCTTTCCCATACAGCGCGTTCTGAAACTGCATCTGCAGGTAAATCCCGTTCTTGAGCAGCATTCTCAGTGCTCTTCTTGTCTCTTATTGTCTCCGGCCTGTCCAACGCGTTCTGATGCTCTTCTCTCGAAGCAACAGGTGGACACTTTCGTTGCTTTGAAGGTGAATTTGGTTGTATTCGCAGAATACTTGTCAAATCTCCATAAACAATAAACGGCACAATAGTATTCAAATAAGGACTCATGTCACCGTTTGAGAGATAGTCCAACAACATTCTTGGCTGATATCCATCCGGACAAAAATGATCTGTACAGAGGGCAAAATGCTCCAGACTGGAATCACGACTTCCTTCAGGTCTACAATGTCAAAATTAGCATGGTAATGCTAATAATAATTATGTAACTTAACCATCAAATTCCTAATTCTTGCTCAGTCTTCGTTTGCAAGGGTATTAGAGAACCAGAAATTCCGTATGCGACATATGATCACCATGAATGTTACGTTCAGAAAAAAAAATTAGTAAAAGTACTTAAGTTAGTTAAGTACATATTAAATCATTTCTTTTTTCGAAATTTACGTTCGATAATTTATAATTTGGACCACGTTTGTTTGTTACACACCGTAACTTTTTGCTTTTAGCGTTTTTAGGGGATTTGCACATATATTTACTAACATTACATATATACTACAAATTTTTAAAACGGCAACAGTTGAGAAGGAAGAGTAATAAATACCCTGATAAACTTGTTCAAACAGTATAAAAACTTCAAATCTAAAATACTGACGACAAAAACACTTTGGCATTGGCGATAACATCAACATAGACTGCTCTTCAATTTCAGTATTTCGCTTACTTTTCGAACGTGACGGTACGGAAAAACGCAGCTATCTGCTGGCGAAGCAGATCATCATTTTTCCGCTTGAACACTTTCATAACCAGCGTCCCTCCGTACTTGAGAACGGCTGTCGTCAAAGCCAATGTCGCCAGCACAATATCATGGTGTCGATAAACATCCAGTTCATGCAGACCCGTCACATCGGGCGCACCATCACACACAATCAAATCCGCCTGCTCACCGCCGAACTCCGCCAGGATCTTCTCCACAGTGGACATTTTGGTGATGTCGCCCTGCAGCTGCACTACACCAGGAATGGGCACCATAAACTGAAAGTCCACAGCGACGATCTTCACGGAGGGATCGCTCTGCTGCGGAGTGAAGATCTCTTGCGATAGAACCTGACTCCAGCTCCCCGGAGCAGCGCACAGATCCACGGCTCGTTTGACGTTTTTGAACAGTGTGCCACCGGTGGATTTATTCAGGTTCAGCAGTTTGAAGGCGCTTCGTGCGCGATAGCCTTCCTGCTTGGCATTCCGATAATACACATCTCGGTTGTCTTTCGTGCATTTTCCCATCGTATCCCACGTTCCCGACGAATTTGGCGCGTAATTTCAACTCCTGACTAGGATAGTCAGCAGGAAGTTTAATCGAGTTCTGCTTGTTTGGAAGCGTGCATTCGATGCGAATAAAAAGTTAAACTTATTTACTTACGTAAAAAACTGAAGTATTGTATTGCTGTATGCACTATGCGCATGGCAGCATGCAGTTGTGCTGTGATCGAGCCACTCACCTTGCCAGTCCAATAACGAATAACAGGATGATCAAAATTTTGCTGCAGATCGACAAAGAAAAGGATATCTGTGATAACAAAATAAAGAACGGAAAAGAAAGAGTTAACCAGTCTGAAATGCGAAATACCGATAATGTACACTCGCACAGTCGCAATCGTAATTAATTTTCGGAAGTTTTCCAATTTCACAATAAGTCAGCAAGCGCCAAGCGGTCGCCGGTCAAGATCAACTCTGGCACTGCAGTAGTGCAGCTCTGCAATCGTGCTCTGCACTCTGTCCTACTTCTATACTTTTGCGGCAGACGGTGGCGGTCGCCATCGCGACAGAGGGTGTTTAGCACCCGAGACCATATGGGCTCTGTTGTGTAGAATTTGTAAGGGTAGTCTTTTTTGTAGAAGCTATAGTTTGCCCATATGTGTCCTGTCAAGGACAATTTTCGACATGGGTATCCTTTATAATAAAAGAATAAGAAGGTGCACAAAAATCGTGTCTGTCTCCCTTTTCTGAGCGACACAGTGAGCGAAACTTAGGTCTCTGTATATCATTCGATAACGCAAGGTATGTAGATTAGCCCAAAAGGGTTAGTTTTGTGAAAACCAAAACCAGCTTTGAGAAAAAATTCCAAAACCTAACATGCAAAACCTACGGGAACGTCAGAAACCTGTTAACGCTATAACTGCCACCTCGAGTGCCAGAGGCTGTGCTAATGCGAATTAGCTTCCTTAGAATCAGTAAATTTTTCTAAAAAGTCATTTTCAAAAAGCAAGTAAAGTTTAAAAAAGGATATTTTGAAAGACTTCAGAGTCAACGTGCTATCCCATTACGAATTAGCTGTTTACTTTGTTTTATGATGTTGATGTTTAAAACTGCTGAACGATAAGCAAATTAATAAATTACGAATGGGCGGAATGGCTCAAAATTCCATAGATAAAGTAGTCGCCTCCCAAAGTGGTTTGGTTCTGGCAGCTTTTAATAATCACTCACAGAGTTACGGTGCCGTATTTTACCAATTAGATATACCGATTAGTGTCCAATTAGTTCAAAGTTTGTGCAATGCTTTCGGAAGGGGACGCTATTTTTTTTGGGGGGGGGGGGAACGGGGTCGGGGGTAGCATAAATTTGTTAAATTTTTTTGCTCCTTTAGAGCTTCAAAGTCATGGCGAAATAGCTACAAACGGTAAGGGAGACCGGGAGGGAACGGTATTGCGGGGATTCTGTCAATGGGGGGACACATATTTGTAAAACACGGTAATAGTTAGGTAACTGGTCAGTGGTCCATAGGAATTAGTCGGTCAGCCACCATTTTCACATTTTGGTTTTTTTATTATTAATCGTGGGCAACAGCGGTGGACGAATACTGGATTCTGGAATCAGATTGTTATTACGGACAGATTTGGAGTTTAAAATGGCGGAAAATACAGTCTGTAGTAACAGTGAGCCGAGCGCGTGATGTACCAGCTCTGTAAAACACGGAAAAGTCACAGTGGTAGCGGGAAATTTCGCTCTAAGCGCGAGTGCTTGGTCAAATGGGCCTCTTGCTTTTCAGAAAATTTTAAAAGGAAAGGGTTGACCTAATTATTATGCTATTACAATTGTCATTGTCATGAAAATTGTTGTGACGATTTTTATGAAAATCATCTATGATTTAAAATTCCATTAAGAATTTTATACCAGTAACCTTTGCGAAAATTAAATGAATTAATTTCGTTATAAATTCCAACGCTTTGGTCCAACATGTACATCCAAAAAGTTTGACGTAAGAAAAACGCCAATTTTGATTTTGTTTTTCGAATGTTTTTTTTATATATGATTCCCTAACAAAAACAAAATAAAACACGGGAAGTTGGACAATGCCAACTCTCGGCAGTGATTGTGGTATGACAGTACTGTAACGGGACGCCCGCGCCGATCAGGAAATGCGGTCGGAAATCGGGAGTGACAGACTTTGAATTTATTTATTTAAAATTTAAATAAATTTTAAAAAAATTTAAAAGACTGTAGAACTAATAAGGTGCGCATGGAAACGGCAATTTTTCAGAGGAAACTTTCAAATTTCTACGCTCAACGTTATTCCGCAATCTGAGCCAACGAATCGACGAAACGTTTAGCCATTCAAACATTTGCTTATGCAAATAAATTAAACTGCACTAGGTTTCGCTCATTAAAATTACATTTTGTAATCGTTATTTTATAGTTTTGCGTTTAGTATGAAAAGGTAATAATAATCCTTCGCGGACTTATTCCGCGCAATTTGCGCGGGGTCTGCTAGTTTCGATATAAATGAGGCCGCTTTTGAAGTTCGCTGACGAATTGATTTTGGATTGGAAGTTTTTAAATGCAAGGGGTTGGCATTTCTTCGGGATCGGTAGTTTTTTTAGCATAGTGTGGTTTGGGTATATAAAGGGAGTCGGAGTGCGGTATAGAAGTTAGTTGGTGAGGTGGTTGCTGGGAAGTTTGTTGGTTAAAATTATTCTGTTGCTACTTGTGAACAATAGTTGTAATGGTTGATACGATTGTTAGTCGTGTATGTTTCGAGTTGAAGCGTTGTGGTTTGAAACTGGAATTCAGTTACAGTAGTTGTATTTTTCATTTATTGCTGGTGATTCAGTTAACGGTATGTTTATTATAATAATGTCGTATCATAATGACGTATAAAAATGATAATAATATAATAATGACGTATAATAATGATTTTATTGGTAAGAGGAAAAGCGGAATGAATAATACGAAAATACTGGACTTGGAAGATGAATAGTGGCATGATCACTGTAGTGTGGTTGGAAAGGTATGAAAAAAGAAAGTTCATAAAATAAACAATTTGTTCCAGAAAATCTTGTTATTTTATTACTTGTACCGGTATTAGTATCCGTTTAAAATAGGTCATCGAATATTTCAATATTGATTAAGTTGTTATTGTAAAGTATGGTTTACTTGTATAGTTATGAAGAAATATTTAATTTTTATAGGTAAAATTTTCATAAGAGTGTGTGATGGCATTAACTGTTAGGTCATTAATTGTTATAGTTTGTTGCAAATAGTGCTTTATTTTTACAGGACTACTAAGTTTTCAGTTAGCCTGTTAAGTTTATGTAAGAGATAACAGAAAGGATGGTTAGGTTCTAAGTTTTCTGACAGCATGCAACAATAGTTTTTATGGTTAGGCAGATTCCATTTTGATGTTCGATAAAGGGTGAAAAATTTTGAAGTCATGCATTGCAGTATGATAGTATCTTTTAATTAAAATTTATATGATAATATCACACATCAAATTGGTGGGTGAAAAAACACAGACAAATGCAGCTACAAAATTTAGTTCAAATAGGTACTAAATTAAAATTAAATTAATCACTACTTATCTCTGTATTAATTACTTAAAGGTACGTTTAAATTTAAGGTATTTGTCGAAATTTAAAATAAATCGCATCGTAATTGATTACGATGAAGTTTTTGCATGGAATTTTGGCAGAAGTAAAATAAACATGAAAGCAGGTGGATCCAGTCATCCGATTTCTTTAATGATAATATATTCAATGAGCCGTTTCAATACCTCTACTGATTTGTTGGATGTTTATTTCCAGAGCATAAATTAGGAGATTTGGAGCATGAAAAAGCATGCCATGATAAAATCAAGCATTAGTATCAGTTAGATACAGCCATCCGAATAATTTTATGACTGTTTGCTTGGCGAAGACTTCTGGCGCATTTTATCAGAATTGTCTGTATGTAGTAGAAAAGTGTAGAAAATGAATTTAGGCATAGTAAAATGGTAATTCGCCAAAACAGTTTGGCTAAATTATATTGTGTATCGAGTTAATTTACTGGAAAACTGAAAGTTTTCTTTTGGCATGGAAACATTTTACATGTACACAAGTGTGTGCAGTCATCCGATGTGTTTCTTATTTGTGTAAGTAGTGAATAAGATGGTGCATAGCCATCCAGTAATATAAAATCCTTTTAGTGTTAACGCTAAGTTTTGAAGCAATACAAGGTGTTCATTTTTTTTTAAAAATTGAATGCTGACTTCATGAATTCTATTTTACTTCTTGTTTCAGTCGTCTAGGTGCATGTTCGAAATGTGTTTGTGTTTAGTTCATCTTTTTTGGATGCTTTTACTTTACAAAATAAAAACAAAATTAATGAACCAAAAAATTTTTTTCAATGACCTGGTATATATCCCGGTTATTGACGTTTGGTGCCCTTTCTACAGATTTTCTCAATAATGAACCGTAAATCGTTTAAATAATTTTGATTATTAATATATATAACTGAAAATTAAAGAAACATTTAAAACGCACAACCGACCGCGTTTAAAAGACGTTCGTCATATTGCATAACACGCAGTTTACGCTAATTGAGAAAAAGGAGTACATGAACGCTGTTACCAATTCGCGGACAGTAATAAAACTTAAGGCTTTAACGCAACACTATTTTATGCAATAATATAAAAATCAGTACAGTACTCGTACTATTAGTATTAGGTACAATACTATGTTATAAGTATGCGCCCAACCGCGCCCAACCAGATTTACTGCCACCCTTAAGCGGTTGTGGGCGTGCGTGTTACTTGCAGTGTTGCTTTACTTAGTAAAAGTAAATAGTCAACCTTACTTAGTAAGCCGTTTTTGCCTTTTACTAATTAAGTAAAAAGTAAGTAAGCAGCAAAACGGAAAAGTAGAAATAAAGTAAAAGTAAGAGCAGCCGAGGCTTCAGAAGTAAATAGTAAGTAAAAGTAAGAGCCGCGAAACGGGAATAGTTTAATTAGTAAAGCAGTCTTTTTACTAAACGTCCGCTACAGATAAAAGTGACGGGCATCATCAGAATTCTGCTTGCTGGCATTGAACATGCTTTTTTCCATAGCAGTTACGTTTGGCAGTACAGGTTTCCTTCTGAAGCGCTAAAATTTCTGCACTGCAGTCTGCAGACGCCTTCAACCGGTTAGGTGGGCGAGTTACGTGACTGCCAGGCGTATTAGCTAGTGCTGCTTCACTGCAACGGATACGGTGTAATGACTTTTGCTAATTTTTGTTAAAAAAATAAGTACTGTAATTTTACACAGAACCAAATTGCTTCATTGAAACAAATTTCTGAGCACAAACTGAAATTAACCGGTGTGCACACTGTCGCATAGTACAACCTGTACAAGCAGTTATTTTTGTTTTAGATACTTAATATGCTTAAGAAATGAATAATTATGGCAAAATTGTTGCGTACTGCGATTTTTCGCAAAACACAGATAGTAAATACTATTTTACTAGTGATTACTAAGTTAGTAAAAGTAAGTAAGTTTACGATAAAAAAAGTAAAAAGTAAGTAAAAGTAAGGAAGAAAGATTATGAAAAGTAAATAGTAAAGTAAATAGTAAAGTCAATAGCCAGACGAAAAGTAAAAAGTAAGTAAGATTTTGGGGCAATAGTAAATACAACACTGGTTACTTACTGCTTTTGAGATACCGATTAACAATACGAGGAGGATTATAGTTGAGTCGGTAGCGCATAGCTGCTGCGAGTTAAACTGAAAACCAGTTCCGTAAGCATTTGGCGTAACAGTCAACCGTGGATGGTTGCACTTCCAACAGTTGAACAACAGTCAGCCGTGGGGGGTTGCCTTGTTAACTTCCCAACCGCAGCTATTGGCTTGTGCAACCATCCAAGGTTGGCTGTTACGCCAATAGCTTACAGAAATGGTGTTCAGTTTAACTCGCAGCAGCTGTGTGCCGCCGACTCAACTATAATCCTCCTCGTATACAGATACCGATTACTTAACAATATACAGTACAGGACCACAGGTGACGATCCTAGCTCCTTAACCCGCCTGCCACCCGGCTCTCTTCCAGAGAGAGAGAGAGCCGCCCGTAAGGCTTTAGTTTTCACGGTGGTGATCACGCATGCGAAAGTACTTATACGAAAGTGTGCGATACGAAAGTATAAGAGGAGTTTCAGGAGATCGCTGTTTCCTTCTCAAATCCCGTGTATATGAAAATGTTACATAATCGACTTATCCCAGACACAAGACGAAAAAACGGAAAGCGGACAGTGAGCGCTTTTCACATTGGGAAACACATACAGTAACTAACGCAATCGAAAAGGAGACTGTTATAAAACAGTCTCCTTTCGTTTTATAAAAAGAAATGTTAAAACACTGAACTTCCAAAAAGTTAACCGCTTATGTTTTATTAAACTGCTATGCATATAATATATCATTTCGGTACGTGCAAGTTGTGCAACTGCCGTGCCGCGATTCTTTGGTATCACACGGACCACAAGTTTCATTCACCATAAAACCGTTAATACACAGGATGCCCAAGCGCATGTAGTATATACAGTACTTTATGGCTTATGCGTATTGTGCTGCAGTGCTGCTGGTTAGAAAAACCTCCACAAGAATTAAACATCATGCGCAAGCCACGGAAGCGCTACAGATTGTGCTTTAAAACAAAAAACGTTATAAGAACATGCTGCGCCATTATCAGCACGATTCCAATTAACAAAACTAGAAACATTTCGATTTTCCTGCTGAAGGGCGGATATGCTTCTCACCGCATCAACCACGTACTGAACGAGGCCTGGCATGCAAAGCAACGAGCGAAACATACATATAGACAGGTACTTGTTTAAACAACTATCCTCAACGAAAACGAGAAATACGATAAAACTATTTATGCCTGATCAAAACACAGTTTCCGCGATACCGCAGTCGATTGTTCCAGGAAATGTTCGGGATTTTCGAAAGAATTTTTAAAGGGCAGGATTTTCATGATATTGGTTATCAGCATACGATAAGCGAAAGTATCGCCCTGTAAGCGTTTCCGACGCAAAGCCAGTTTGTCGTCTCCAGTCCAACAAACCTCCAGCGACAGTTTCAGTACAGCTTCTCCGGCTCCGTTGTATTTGGTGGCACGCACCAAAAAATCACTGGAAACGGAAAATGCACAAACTTACTTAATTTTATTTTTGGGCATACCAATTAAAATTAAGCTTAAAATGATTTCGGTCAAATGAATAATAATTCTAGAACTTCTGACCTCTTCATCTTCGTATGGCAATTACAAATCTTCAAAATGTTCGTAATTTCCTTCAAAAGTTCATCCGGCTCAGTGCAGTCCACTTCCGTAACGTCGGAACCAGTTTTGACAATTCGAACTTGTAGTCCAGTTCGAGTGATTTTCTTTCCGGTTTTAATGGGCGTAAGGATATCCACAACACGATCGAATCCTTTTTCGATGGATCCGAAAACTTTCTTCATTGCACTCTTTTTTCCGGTAAGCGAACCAGCTTTGCTAGCTGGTTTCAGCGGGGTTTTGAAACACACGTCAAGCCCATTTTCCACCGATTTGGCTCTAAAGGAACAATAACAGCACACATAATGCTTCGCTAACTTTCGGGAAATATGCGAATATAATCAAAGACGAAACATCTAATTCGCTTGGTTGCTTTGGATAACAAGAATATAACAGCGAAATGATTACTTTGCGCATGCAGCCGCCATGACGATGTCCGGAAGACCGTTTTCCAGCGACTTGGAAGGCGTTAACCGACGAACGGCTAAAGAAAATGAAACTCTATGAAAAACATAAACATATACATCCCGTTCCGTTATATATTTTGCGGAAATCTTACAAAGCAATTCAAGAAACTTCTTAAAGCTTACGAGATTTCGGAGGAAAAACCGGTTTTGGAGGGATGATGTGGTATGTATCTTCCTCGCGGCGACGAATCAAGGCTTCAGATAAATCTTCGTCAAGGATAAACAGCTCGTCTTCGCTGGACGATGAATCGTTATCGTCAAAGCTAATCTGGGAAAATAACCGTTTATTGGGACTTTTCAACTTCCCTTTTCCCATAACCTTCGTCGGGCTAACTGGGGGACGATAGAGACTAGCGCACAGGTCATTCTCCTTGGCAGCAAACTTGATTGCAGCAAGATTCAACCGGACCACTTTTCCTGAATCGTATCGTCGTTTTCCCAACATATACGTTGCGTACCAGTAATCGAACTTTTTCTGTGATATACTTTGACAGACTTGGCGTCGATGGTATTCATCATTGGGGAATAAAGCGTTAACGATGCCCAAATCCACCGTAGTACGACCAGGATCCTCCAGATTGCATTTGACTGGAACACCGTACTTCTGTATGATCCATGGATGGTTCACTATACTTGATATGGAAATTCGATTAGCAGGTTCCACTTGCAACATGGCTCTGATCAAGATCTGACTGTCACGCGATAGATTGGCGGGCATATTGAATTTTCCTCTTTGAATTTTCTCAAATAGTTTGTTAACGTTGTCATCCATGAATGGCAGCGTTCCCGCCAGTAATGCATAAAGAAGAATCCCCAACGACCATACGTCAGCCTGAAAACATCCCATTACGCGGCCATTAGGAGAGACAATGAAAACAATACACATCCAAGATCAACTGCACAATCTGTTGTACGTATGCAAATTATGCCAGACCACCAAGCGACAGCAAAATGCTGGTTTATATCGATAGAAAGTCTACAGTCATTTCTCGCATGAGACGTAAATTATACTTAAGTAACTTAACAAACTTAAACTGAGTTGTTTTACGCAATTATATACAGTACCTCTACTGCCCAGTTAATAGGCAGTTGTGAATACAGTTCACTACCTCAAAGTGGTGGGAACGATACAATTTTATTAAAGCCGAAAAGTTACGGTATATTTGGTATACTCACCTTATCTCCCAAATAAGGCTTGTTGGCAATAAGCTCCGGTGCAACGTAGGAAGGGCTAAAGAAACAGAACAATCATTTTTATTATCACCCAGATTCTCTTACAACTTAAGAGCACAGTCCAACACCGACCTTCCACAGCTAGTTTCCAGCAAAGCACTCATGCCTCCTTTGGGCTTTGCAGCCAGTCCGAAGTCGATGACTTTGATATCGTAATTCGCATCCAACATGAGATTTTCCGGCTTTAGATCGCGATGCGCTATGCCTTTGCTGTGCATGTATGCCACGGCACTGACCACCTGGCGGAAGTACTTGCGCGCTTTATCCTCGGTCAGACGTGAATTAGTCATAATGAAATCGAACAGTTCGCCATTTGTGCAATACTGAAAGAAACGCAATTATTATTCTGACAGCATGGATGCTAAAAAATTATGCTGGTACCTCCATAACCAAGTAGAGCTTTTCAGGGGTATCAATCACTTGATACAACTGACAAATTCGACGATGGTCCACCATCTTAAGAATTTCGATTTCCCGGATGACCCGGAAATATTCATCCTATAAAATTGACGTGAAGCTACTTGTTACAAAATGTACGACATTTCCAGAAGCATGTGCGTGCCCTATGCTAATGCTTCAAATTGGGGAAAAAAATAAAAACCATGTATTCGGCAATACAAAATTTATGTTGTGCGCAGATATCACATCACTTTGAAGAAAGACAACGTAATTAACAAAACGCCAATTTTTTACAAAAAAAAGCCGAAAAAAAGAGAGCTCACCTTTAGTACTGCTTTATTAATAATTTTGATGGCGACATTCTCTCCCGTAACCAAATGCTTCGCCAGCTTCACTTTGCCAAAACCACCCGTGCCCAGTGTTTCGTGCAGCTCGTAAAGCCCCGTCAGAACACGCTGCTCCTGCACCGTGCTGATGCGAGGACGAGGCCTCCGCTGCACATCCATTTCACTACAACGAAAGCTGCAACCTGATCTACCGAATACGCATCCTACGGATAACCAGCAAAATTATACAATCTCCTTCCCCTAATTAAGACTTTAACAAAATGTTCGGATACTTCGGAAATAACTGTTTTGTACATGGCATCGTACGGTTCGTAATTATGTAGTTATACAATGATGCATCACAACAGCTACTGTAACACTACGTACTTACAAGTTGCGATGCAAATCCAATCAAAAATCCGACGGAACAGAACACAAGACTGGCTCTTCACTTTGCCGTTGTTTACTGTTTACGGCTCACAGCCTGCTGGTGTTGTACAAGGACCCGTCACATCCTCCCAAGCGCGAATTCCTGAAGGTTTCAAGTGAATAAAGCTTACAACATAAACCAAATTCAGGCGCTAAACTGGCTAAAGAAATAATTCCTGGATTACAAAGAGGGGGCCACTGTTTTCCTTTTCCGTGTGTTGATTCTTATCATCAAAACTGCTCAAGGAAACTGCAAAGAGCGAAAATTAAGCAGCTCACAAACGATATGAACTGGCAGTAACAAACGGCTGATTGAACGCACTGAAGCGTAGCACAAAACAAGGGCGCCAGATCTCAGTGCGGATGGCTGTCCATCACGCCCTTTACTACTGCTACATGGGGTCATTTTTTGTTGGTAGAATGAGGATGAGGAATCATTGTTAATGCCATCAGTACGAACAGCGAAATCAGCTTTCAGCTTTGTGATTCTGATCTAATTTGTTATTCATCTGATTATTCTTCAGTTTTGAAAAAAAACTAGGGCAACCAGAAGTTTTATGTTCAGCAGCCACTTCCTTGAGCCGTTGGCGAGATTAGAAATGCATCCTACAGGATTCGTATTGTTATGGAGTTGTCTCTTTTTCTCGATATCAGCTGGCAATCCTAAATTTACTACATACGCCGTTCAACAGATAAAGACCGGAAATACGCGCATTTCGCCTTCCGGCGACGACGTATCTGTGAAATGTCCTTCAGACGACACCCTCTTCCATGGTAGGGGAAACTGTTCGAAGTCAGTCCATGATAACCAGAAATTGCGCGGAAAACGACTCTTCATTCCCACTACATCCAATGCAACCCACAACCAGTAAGTCGCAAATGTTTGTAACACCAAAGTGTTGTTGTTTTAGACAATGGTTGAGTCCTGGATGATAGAATAATTATTATAATGCTTTATAAAATTTTTGGTGCACAACTCAAGAAATAAAAACATATTTGTGTAACAGTTTTCTGGTTTTATTTGGCGGAATGTAGACGGCATCTGGACAAAGATGGGCTTAAAATCAAAGATCTGGGTGTTCTGCATGATTACAAAACATCCTCCACGACGGAACCATCGCAACTGATTCACGTATTTCATACGAAAACTCCGAATATTCTAATTGGCAAATTCGTGAAATCTTTTACAATCAATGGCGTCGTCCAACGCACTTTCACCTTGGATGCCACATCCGACGCGGAAGTGGTCGCTGTTGATTCACACAGTGTGCCGACGCAGGAGACCACTTATCTGGCCATCGCCCAGCACGAAACACACCCGTCAGCATCCTTCCGTAGTGTCGTCCTGGTGTACGCGATAACGATGCGCAATGCGTACTCGTTATTTTCCCGCATCCAGGTGAAATCGCTGGTTACCGATGTAAAAGTGTTCTCGGATAACGATGGAACATTATTCCTGGCCACGACACAGCGCGCTGTGCGGTGCAATGAAGATTTCGTGTCCGAATGCGGCTTGAGTCTGTAAGTGAAAATTTATTTCTTTATCGGCTTATCAGTATTTTTTAGCGAGAGTATCATGGAATTTTTTTTATCAAGTAGCGGCGTTGTAGCGCAAATTTTTCGTTTTTAATACAGGATATATCGAATATGTGTTAACGGGAAGGCTGAAGTTTTCAGCGTGGCGCAGCTGGGCAATGCGACGCACGTGGAAGTTGTTCCCCATTTAAATGGCCACGATTTCTCCATGCTGGTGTCGAAATGCGGCGTTCCAGTTCAAGACTTGGAGCGGTGCCGGATGCTGCATCACGTGGAGCGATCTGGAAGGATGCCATTGAGTTTCTTTGCACGTACGATCATACATAGTTTGTTTACATTTTATGTGTTTTACGTATCTGCTCCTATTATATTTCTGCACCATGAGTGCAGACAATGCAGTGATACGCCTGTATCAATGGCTTCGGATCCTTGCAGAGGTTTCCTGTAATCCGAAAAATGCCGAACTCTTCCGGTTCTCTGATAATTTGTATTACATCGGACCCGATCCCAAGTGCCAGGAGCAGCAGATATCTTTATGGGATTATGACATGGAATTAGCGCCGTTGAATATTTTTCCGGGCGAAGTGGAGAAATGGTTTGTGATAGACAGCCCTTCTCGCGATTGCGGGTGCAATTTGATTATTGCGGCCGTTGGAAAAGTGAGCAATCGCATTTAGATTTCTGGCTTTCCATTAAGGGCTATTAAAGTAAACTGTTGTTATTATAGGAGGAAACCGTGCTTTATGGTTTGGAATCTCCCGAAAAACAGTGGAGGAAGTTGTTCTCGCATCCTGATTTGCCTATGGATTATTTGTGGTCGTCGGGAAGGCATATGTATATTGTTGTCCGTTCCGCGGATGAAATAACACTTTTACGGTTGACTTGTGTACGGCAGAACAACAAAGATCGCCGCGATTTCGACGATGTCTCCGATGTGGCAAGTTTGCCACTGGAACATGTAATTGGTAACAAAAGCCTTCAAGGAATCGTTGACGATAGTCACGCAGGTATGTTTTCTTTCTGCTTATTGTAACTCCGTTTTCTCACATCACTTTTGTTATAAGTCACTCTGGATGAAGTTAATGAGCCGCTCTACATGGTCGATGGTGTTTCCGGCCAAGTAGGTATCTAGTTTCCCAATAGTTAGCTAAAAGCTTTCTCGTTTTGAATTGGTTTTGAATTTGCAGGATCATACGACCGTATCTCCGTCTGTTTATACCGAAACCGTTGCTGTTCTGTCTGGTGATCGAACACGTAGATTGGAAAATGCGCACCTTACAGATGGACCGACTACCGGGGCGCCAGCTATGGAGAGCGGCAGTTTATCTCAGCTGACTTCAGTCGCTGATCACAGTAAGAAGTATGAGCGCTTGAAAAACTTGTATGCAAGATTTATTTGCATTTTTAGGTGAACTGAGTAACCCGGTGGCTGTTTCTGGTGATACAAAGTCTTTGACGAGTGATTCCAGTCCCGATGACGCATTGAATCCAGGTAGTTTGTAAATTGTATTGTGGCAGTGTATTCCCGTGAGCTTGAAAAAATCGTGTATTTTCTAAAGTTACATCCCTCCAAGTGGTTTTTAATTTTTAATTCTCCAGTATAGAATATTTAGTTAAGGTCTTCGTGGTTTATTTAGAAATTGAGAGTTCCGGTTGTCATATCGATACGGTGGAGCGGAAAGGGCATCTGAACCTTTATTCACCATTCTCCAGCATCGTTGAAGTCAAATCGGGATCCGTTCTCGTTGTCCCGCCAACCATGGAAGATCCCTGCTATAATCTTTTTGAATTCAGCTCACACAACGATCTGGGTGTGCTGGCCAGTAGCCGCAGTAAATTCTGTGATCAAGTTTCGCGATCTGTCAGTCCGGGTACTATGATGCATTCTAAGGTATGTGGGTGTGTTCTAGTCTGCCGATCCCTGCACTGTCGATTGACGAATCAAATGCAGTAATATATAAAAGTGTATTGCCAAATTAATAAGTAGCCAGATGTTAAGAAAATTGAGAACCGCTGACACTTATTGATTTCAGAGCGCTGCGCAGAGTAATGCCGGCAATATTTACATTGTTTCATCCTACGGGGATGTTTTGGAATTCGCGTCAGTAATTAAGGATAATGCTGTATTCGATATTAAACGAGCGAAACCCGGGGTAAATTTCACATCGTTAGCCATTCGAGTGTGTGAAGGATTCCCGACAGCATGCGCTGTAGTGCGTAACTGTCGTGGCGCTGAACCCGATGGATCAACTGGTTGCACGGCGGATCTCAGGTATATCGGCGTTAATCCGTAAACTGTAATTTTTGATCATTTTTAGTTAAGATTTTCATTTTTAGTTAAGATTTTCATTTTTAGTTAAGATTTTTCTGCTGCAGTACTACTACAACCATTTTCCTACGACATATTTAAGCTATTTATGTACAGGCATGTTTGTTGTTTTATTACATTAACTGCAGCGTGAAAAGCATCCGAGTTATAATGAATACAAGTAAACGAAATTTTTTAGATGTTATCGAATGTTTAAACTTACGTGGTTACCGGTGATAACCATTAACGTTTCCGTCGACACCACCATACACATGGAAACTTACCTCAAATCCGATCAGTGTATGCTGATTACGGAAAGCTCCTTTAAGCGGTCAGTCGTCGTACGCTTCTACAAAATGCGGTCCACGCTTAAAGGTCAGTTCTCAACATGTTGCCCGCGATTTAACCAGATGCGGCCAATTTTTACATTTTAAACCTTACCTGTTGAAATGGGTTATTTCGTTGGCAGAGTTGGATATGTCCGAGCCGTTGGAGGTGCGAATGTGCGCCGACCATGCTCTGCAAACCATCGCCATTCAACGCTCCATCTGGCTCACCGGAGCCGTGCCTGATTTGAATGGACACTGTGTGCATTCGCTTTTCGAGCTTGTTTTGGAGCCAGGTGTGTTTTATCTCTGTGTTCTTGCTTCAGTTGAATTTATGTATGTGGAGGTTATTATTAATTTTTATCTTCTGTTTTAGTTCTCCGTAATCCAGTTTTTGCGATTATGGTACTTAATTGTGATAAGTAGGGATGTCTTATAATGACACATTAAATGTAGTTACTTGTTTAGTTGTTTAGCAAAACTGTGCGGATAAAATACTCGTAAAATCTGCAGATGCATTTGCGTGATTTGTAGATCAGCTGGAAACAAGATTATCGTTGCAAATGGATCGTGCAGTTCTGTTTACCTCCAAAAATACCGTATGCTGCAATGGGGAGATTCTGATTATTCAGGACTATCTGCGACCGAATCTCATTCGCTCCTATTTGATGCGGAAAGGCTTTGCTGATTTACAGCAGGTGTCTTTTGCGGACCAGTTATTGGATTACTCAGGACGCATCAGTTTCTTTCTGGTGGACGAACAACAGTTTCTTATGGTGAGAAATGGTACGGCCGGTTATATTTACGAAATCCAGTGTGCGTTTGTGGAGCATGATGATGAAGTAGTCCCGTGATAGCAATAACTGATGCCTTGTTATGATGGATTACTATTGGAGGTAATATAATCTGTGATGATTCTACCGGTTTTTTAGACGGAAGTTGAATATTTTTGTTCCACATAATCTTGCGAGTGGTTGTAACATTTGTTGTTTTTTACAAGTTAGTAACTGTCGAAAATCGTATTTAAAAATGTTTAGCTGCTGGTATTGTTTATAAGAATTTGCAAAAGCTGTGAACTGATCAATTTATTTTCGCGTTTTTATGAACAAGAGCGCAGTACATTGTTCTCTCAATTGATGCGCTGCAATTACAAACTCCATATTACAATTTATGTATATCGACGCCAGTTTCCCAGAGGCATGCACCAGAGGGTAAAGAAAAAATAAAAATGTGCCGAAGCTATGAACGAATAGTTAAGTTTACAAGTTCTGGTCTGTGTACGCGTACTTTGTATTTCACTGCACACTAAATGGCATAGGTTGTTTCAAAAGTTAAAGCGGGTTGTTGTGCCAACTTGTTGCGGAATTCGTGTGGGCTTTGTCGCAAGACCAGTAAACCGTTTCGGGCGCGAACGGGCAGTCAGTTTGAACATTTCTTCATCCTCCGGTTGCCATAATCGTGGGATTCCTTGTTGATTCAGTTGATGAAAACCAAGCGTAGAGCAAATTACTGCAGGGAATCTTCGGATTTGTTGCCGATAAAATTTAGAAGTTGCAGGCGGAAGAGAAGCCGTGACATCTGTTGGCGTTACTTTCTCTCTGCGTGGCCCAGCCGGCGTACAAGTAACAAAATCTGGATATAAATGAAAATCGTTTCTAAAACATAGCGCTCAGCCACCTGGTGCAATTGTAATGTATTATTATTTTCTTTACGGTAATCGCGTTTTAGTTGTGAGTGGATAATGAACGATGCTGCAATGGAAAGGGAAGACAAAAATCAAAAGAACTTGTGCTTTTGATCGTAGTTTTATTGCAGTTTGTGTGTTTGTTAACGTTTTTTTTTAATTTCTTTTTTTACTCCGCTATGTGATAATAATTGTAATAAATCCTGCAGAACACAGCATTCGCTAAATGGCGCGGTTATGCCAGCTCAGTTCTTAGTGCAGAACACCACTGTTTACAATTATTTTCGTGTTATTGCTGTACGTACCCGTTTTTTAAACTTCACCAAAAGTCAAATCTTCCAGCATTGCAGCTAACAAAGCATTACTACTGCTTTATATACTTCTATACATAACTACACTTTCTGTACTCGTACTTCTAGACATGAACTATACTTCGATACATAACGGCGACCGTTCAAGTACTTAATTAAGCAGCCTTAGCACATCTGACAACTAAAGGTCAAACAGCTGTGGGATCAGTGATGTCGGATCCTGGCGGTGATGAGACAACGACTAACACGTGCTGGGTAAGATTTCTTAATTCATATTAAGTGATATTACTAATTACCTCGTATGTTCTTCTTTAGAAAATCTTGCATTTAGTCTTCGAAGAAACTCAATATCAAGGAGTGATACGTGGCACATTACAGTAAGAAAGAAGGTTAAAATAACTTTTAATTCGGCAATGGCCAGTTCACATAACAGTAAGCTTGCGCTGGTAGAAACTAATTAAAATTTGATCTTCGTTTGATTAAGTTAAAATTGATCTTCAGGATGGTTTGTAGTTTGTACACTTTCGGGAGATAATTGCGTGGACATAAATTGTATATATACACTTTGTAGTACGAGTATGTACAAGCCCATCCAACAATTCTTTGACCGCTTTAAGCGGGAATTTAAAGAAACGTGGGCTTGAGCCATTTAATGTGCTTCGACACGTCACGCCACATGGGTCTGCGTATTCAGCGTAAATAAGCAACAAATCTGCATGTGTTGCAGTTACTGTATCTGTGATATACAATGTAATATGTTTAGCATTATTTATTGCCATCATAATTTATATTAATTTTATGCTTTTGTAACAGTATCATCTTTGCTTTGCAATACAATATCGCGGTGGTACTTAATATCCATATTACTTTCAAATTACTGATTGCAACATGCCCGGGCTAAAGATGATTGATTCCACGCTGGTCTAATAATGGTCTATTAATTGTGATCTAATATATTATTATTGGTTGAATATTTATAAATATATCTGCCACTACACTACGATGCGTATTTGCATTACTGTGCGCGATTTATATGCGCTGCGCTTACAGCGGTCAAAGAATTGTTGGATGGGCTTGTACTTATTGTTACAATACATTGTTGTTACAATACATTGTTGTTACTTATGGTTACAATACATGTACAGATGTCATACTCACAATCCGCACTGTACTATAGTGTAAACAAAGAATTTAATAAATGCAATAATAGTAAACGTCAGTAACCAGCTTATGCATAGCACTAGCCTATGCTAGCTAGGTGAGTAAAGTATTGTAAGTCAATAGTAAGCAACAGTAAAAGTAAGTAAGGGGTCCAAAAAACTCAGTAAACCCATCACTGGGCCCGGCCCGGCCCGTCACTAGCCGTAGGTGACGTAAACGGAATTCAACAGGTTCGAGGCTCAAATTAGATTCAGCACTCAGCAGGTGAGACAGCACTTTGTGACCGGCCTTACGAACTATGCGAGTTTCCTTTTGGCAAAAATATTGTTCCTTTCATACTTTTTTTCATTTTTCTATTTATCGGTTTTTAAATCCCGATAAGCGATCCCTTGTGTCTAGAGCGTTAACGAAGTGTGACGGGCAAAAAAAGTACTGACCGGCTGTTGCTTTCCATTGCCTGATTCAGACCTGTCACTTTGATCGGAAAAAGATGCCTTGGTATTGCCCGTACACACCAAAGCGCTGCGCTACCTTCACCTTATCTGTTGAGTGTTGTTGGGATAGTTGTGTTCTTTTACATCGCTTATAATAACCAGGCTGATCTGAGCGCCCCGGAGTTTATCCTCCCGATCGCTGGGTTGTTTGTTTCAGTTCTTGGAGCGGTGTTCGCTTGTAATAATATGCGCAATACTGATTATGTGGAATTGGTGGAGTACCACAAAATGCCTGGAAAACATTCGCCGGAACCATACTAACGATAAGAGTACGAGTACTTGTATATGGATAGTGGATTAGTTTTTTCATTCGTAATCGGTTTTGTATTTTTAAGCATTTAAATTATTTTTTTATTACTGATATCTGGACTCATACGGACAATAAGGATCAGTATCACGACGACGTGGTTTATGGCATAATCAGCAGAAAGCAGTAACTTACTTTTCGTGTCTGCACTTTTTCAGACGTCGTCGAAATAACAGTGGTTAATGTGAAACTCATGCCCTTCCATTTCTGTGATACGAATTTTTAGAATTTCACGTTCTTTCATGCGTTTTAAAATTTCCCTGCAATAACCAACGTTAAGCAGCTAAAAAGAAAGGGATTTTCTGCCGTTTCGCTGTTGCTTCAGTGACTTACGTTAAACCGTCATTCCTGTGCGGGGTGTGGGCGACCTTCAGGTTGTACATAATAATGTAATTCAGCTCATCGCTTTTTCGATTCTGTCGAACAGAAATAATTGTTAAATAAATTAAAGATGTTATTCATGTGCATAATCAGCCGAAAGCAGTGATTTACTTTTCGTGTCTGTATTTTTTCAGCCCGTCGCCGAAATGCTACATACGGATCGTGCCCAGAAGCCGCCTCCCGTTTATTAACCCTCTTCACTTTTAACAAGAGCGGATGTTTCTAAATTAAAGCCGAAATTATTTGTAACGACGGTTTTCTAGAAGTTATTCTTTCGTACCAGTTTCTTCGACGCGTTAATCAAATATGTGGACAGCGCTGTCACAATCTCCTCGCGCGCTCTTTAATAATTTTCCCGGCATCTGTTTCACTGGGTTCCTAAAGTGTTTTAGAAAATTAGTTTTATTAAAACTGCGATGTTAATAGTATGATTAAAGTCAAATAATTTTTACTCGTATTCCGACGGATTTTTCTAGCAAGTCGATGGCCATTTCAAACCGCTCGGTGGTGATATTCAAGGCGGCATTTTGATCTAGCCAGTCTTTGTCGTCTTCATCGATACAGTAATCAACAACGTCCGGCTCTGGCCCAACTAAAAGAAAATCATTTGTAGTACTGTTTCTTATCTGAACCGCACATTGTGTCTCACAAATGGCATACATAAGAAGCAGCTCTGTGATTTCTTACCACTTAAACCTTGCACCCGATAAAGTTCATTGTTGTAAAACCTGCAAAGGGTGGTTCGTTGGGCAGGACCTCGCTGAAAGGTCAGAGCCGCTCTTCTTTGACGTCCCGCAACAATAAGAATTTTAATGTCCAGCAGATTAACTATGATGAGAGCAAGTCTTTGGCCATTTGGAAAATGAGGAAATTTTGTTTTTTCATAATGATGCTCTAGAAGCAGAGTAATGTTTTATACGTGCAATGTACATGCGGCATAAATCATTACTTAAAATTATTTTAATTTTCACGTGTATACTATTTACTCTATGCTGTAGTCCTTACATTAATTCGGTGCCGCAATAGCCATTGTTGCATCGTGTCGGGGTACCGGTCAGCCAAGTTAGAATCTTAAAGATTTTGTGCACGCTATGGCATATTTTTCTGAATATGAAAACATAATTTAAATAATGTCTCACTGACTTTTAATACTGGTTAAATGTTCCACAATAGATTTGTTATGACAAGATTGTTTATATCGTATAGTTATTTCTCAAAATAAACGTTACGGAGAAGTACACTGCATAAAAGTGTGTTTTAATATGTTTGGTAGATCTAGAGTAACGATAATTATCGTAAAAAGTTATGACTTACTGCATTCCTGGGAGCAAAAATACATCCCAAGACCAAACGAAAACAAAATAAATAGCATACAGCCAAGGTAGACTTGCGTGGACGATGGTATTAAAAGGCTCCTGTTATGTTTGATGCTGTTCTCCGTCATTTCGTCTGCACCTTGTCAGCACTCCATTTCACTTCCGGACATCAGCTTTTATTTTCCTTACGGGGAAAAAAAGTTTTTCCCAGTGGTTGGTTAATTCAAGTGTTTATTGTGAATTTGTGATAATGTGCAGTACCCGTACCAAATATGGTAATCCATAGTAAAGCAAATCTTGTAAACAATAACCAGTTGTTTGCACTTTTGCTCCACAGAGAAAAGCAACTCGATTAGGCACTCGTTTCACGACAGGAAAGCGCCTCTTAGCGTGCGCAATCAAACAGAAAACCACAGATACATATTTAATTAAACAACGACAATAATTCGCATTTTATCAGCACGGACAGAGATTGTATATATACCCGTACTGGTGAAAGTCGGACTGTAAGACAACTCGAATCTTGATTCCATACAGCCGCGGCCGAATATTTCTGGTTAAAACATATAAACACACTTTAATTTGGTATGCATCTTAGAATGCCTTGCTTTTGGCTGCAGCCTGCATTAAGCGCAAGTTTGTCCCTAATTTGCTATAGCTAAACATAAATTCAGTTTGGAAAATGATACTCGTACGGTAAGTACGGCATAACGAGCCGGCAACGCATACGGTATAGCATGAGAAAATCATATCTTTGTGAAAAATCGCAAAATCTACTACAGATAGTAGGTACTAAAGTTTCTGCCGTTCTACTACCCATATTGTTTTTAAACTATGTATTATATACTCATGTTCATCCAATGTTTGCATGTAGGACCATTTGTATTCATGACTTTCTTTAACTGCGCTATTATCAAGCGAGCGAGCGAAGCGAGCGAGCGTTTTTAATCTGCGGTGCGACATGCGGAGAGCTGGGTCCCCGGGGTCCAGGGGCCAAGCCCCTGGCCGGGGTTTGGGGCGGAGCCCCAATAAGCAGGGGGTGCGGGGGGTGCAGCCCCCCGCTGAAGCAATTGAGAAGGTAGTCCAAAAATCGAAAAACTAACCGGGTCATTTTTGACGGACCTGGTGCAGTAAATGCAAAGGAGATCGTAAATTTGGACCCGGTACACTCATACAGACCGGCCCGGGTGGAGCGTTTTTGGGGAACCGACATGCGGGGAACCACCGGGGCATTTTTCACGAACCCGCCATACATACAGTATGGACGGCCCGTTTTTTTGGACCCGGTCCGGGAATTTTGCCCGCCCGGTTGATGCGTTTTTGGGGAACCGACATGCGGGGAACCACCGGGGCATTTTTCACGAACCCGCCATACATATAGTATGGACGGCCCGTTTTTTTGGACCCGGTCCGGGAATTTTGCCCGCCCGGTTGATGCGTTTTTGGGGAACCGACATGCGGGGAACCACCGGGGCATTTTTCACGAACCCGCCATACATATAGTATGGAGGGTCCGTTTTTTAGATCCCGGTCCGGGAAGTTTGCCCGCCCGGTTGGTGCGTTTTTGGGGAACCGACATGCGGGGAACCACCGGGGCATTTTTCACGAACCCGCCATACATATAGTATGGAGGGTCCGTTTTTTAGATCCCGGTCCGGGAATTTTGCCCGCCCGGTTGGTTCGTTTTTGAAAAACCGACATGCGGGGAACCACCGGGGCATTTTTCACAAACCCGCCATACAAACAGCGAAATTTTGTAACATGATTCACAAATTATAAGGCTTTGTTTGAGCAAATGTTGGAAATACTCGAAGGTCTTCAACCAGTATATAACTTTGTAGACCAGTTGAGTTCGGTCATTCAAGGCAAACGTCACCTTAAGGTCATAACGGGTAGCATTACCTTGAAACAATGACGTAGCAAACCATGCTAATCGAAGTCAGGAACCGGTACTATCGTTAGCATTTTCACCTGCATTTGCACTTACTTTACAGGATCAACTGAGCCGCTTTCATTTTGCAATGACTCATGGTAACGCGTTACCAGCTTTCACTACTCTAGTTAAGCGTCACCAATAATAAATATTACGCTACCATAACTATAACATGTTACCGTAACCGTCTCAGTTTCTGTCACGGTAAGGGTTACCGTAACTATTGTTAAGGGATTGCCGTCACCCTTGCTGTTGAAACTGAAAGCGTTGCCATAGGCAACGCCGAGCTGCGGCCCAAGCAAGCGCAGCGTAGCGAGCGGAGCAGCAAGTAAAACCAAAGGGTTCGATTTTTCTTTGTTCCAAAAAAAATTTTTTACGGTGTAGTTCAAACTTTCCATTATCGCGATGATACAGAAGCGAATAACCGTTTCTACGGAATTCGAAGGCCGAGCCGAAGGCGACGCCGAGCTGCGGCGTGAGCAAGCGCAGCGTAGCGAGCGGAGCAGCAAGTAAAACCAAAGGGTTCGGTTTTTCTTTTTTCCAAAAAAAAATTTTTAAGGTGTAGTTCAAGCTTTCCATTATTGCGATGATACAGAAGCGAATAACCGTTTCTACGGAAACCGAAGGCGGAGCCGAAGGCGACGCCGAGCTGCGGCGTGAGCAAGCGCAGCGCAGCGAGCAGAGCAGCAAGTAAAACCAAAGGGTTCGATTTTTCTTTTTTCCAAAAAAATTTTTTACGGTGTAGTTCAAACTTTCCATAATCGCGACGATACAGAAGCGAATAACCGTTTCTACAGAATTCGAAGGCGGAGCCGAAGGCGACGCCGAGGTGCGGCGTGAGCAAGCGCAGCGTGGCGAGCGGAGCAGCAAGTAAAACCAAAGAGTTCGATTTTTCTTTTTTCCAAAAAAAATTTTTAACGGTGTAGTTCAAAAACGTTCCATTATCGCGATGCTACAGAAGCGAATAACCGTTTCTTCGGAAATCGAAGGCGGAGCCGAAGGCGACGCCAAAGTGCGGCGTGAGCAAGCGCAGCGCAGCGAGCGGAGCAGCAAGTAAAACCAAAGATTTATTTAATCATTATTATATCTTTTGCTTCGGAAATGGTTTTGTTAACGGTTCAATTTAAACGTTCACTTTTCGTGATGATACTGTACAGTAGCGAGTAACTGTTTTTAAGGAAATCGAAAGCGGAGCCGAAGCGAGCAAAGCAGCAAGTAGAACGGAACGACTTTCTTTCAGCCTTTGTTTTAAAAAAGATTAAACAGAATTTAAAAGATAACTCTATCGAAGTTCAAATTTGAATTCTTGTAAATAAATTGCGAATTTTTTGAGAAATTATCAACGTTTCTTATTTTGAGCTACACCATTAGTTTTCGACTTCTAAGATGAGCTCATTTACAGTTTCATATCAATTTAACTTGAAAAATAATAAGATAGACCTAATTGATAAACATTTCTGTTTCTTTACGGGGAAAAATAATAGAGATCCATGCCAAGGGTTATGATTACAGAAAGCGGTATTCATGAAAGGTGAATTTCGGCGTGTTGCTTTACAAGCGTCGCACTTAATAGTCACTTTTCACGGAAACAGAAAATTTGATAAAACTTTCTTTCCTGGATTATTACCACCAAGCACTGAATGAAGTACTGAAACGATAAATCGTTTTCGCAGCAAATTAGGAAAATTATTGAACACTGAAATTTGAAATCTCCGCCGGTGTGTTTCAGAACCAGTGCGGTTCCACCGGCATTAGCGTTTCTTTTTGTAAATCGTTGTGCAGATGCATCCGCAGCAAAAAAAGGGCTCTAAATTGCGGATGCATTTAAAAAATATCTCCAGTAAGTAATTCATCGTTTTTGTCTTCGCAAGCGGTTGCTTTCAGATTTCAGTCGTGAAAACGATTGATCTGAACTGACGATGGCCGGGATTGGGGTTCTTAAACGGGCTTGAACACTTCCCAACCAATATAAACGGACAAGCTGAGCGTAGCCACTGAATTGGCTCTGGCGGTTAACTGTATAAGTCTTATCGGTTTTGGGAATAAAATATCGGTACTGGGAATGAGAAACTGAAGAAATGAGATCAGTATCCCAATGTAAAGGATTTAGTGCGGCGGAGAACAAGCGGAATGGTGGGCAATGTGCGGTAAAGCATTAGCAGTGCCCGCGCCGTAGTTGCTGAAGGAATTGTTTTAAAATTAATATACCGTATCGGCTCGATTCCGTAAAACGTCATAAAAATGATAGTATCGCGTCGGCATCGCAGCGGTGGCAAAAACAAACTGATATCTGAGCAGATCTGTTGATAACTCAGCATATGCAAAAGATACAGAAAGCTAGGTAGACTCTGAACTACTTGGTTAGGTTGCTGTCTCACAGGCCCGCCACAAGGTTTTTGGAAAGGGGGGGCGCAAGTGCGCCGGGGCGGCGGTCTGCCGGACTCAAAGTATGGCGAAAAGTAACACGTGACACGTCGGCCAGCCTCGCCCCGCCCCCTTTCAGTACTTTAAATGCGCCCCCCCCCGGCGGTCAAAAATCCGAAAAAGGGGGCGCCCGCCGGTGCGCCCCCCTTTCTGGCGGGCCTGTTGTCTCACCGTGCCAAGTTTTTTACAACAAAAAACTTACATGCTCGCTCGCTTGCAATAAGGGCGGTTACGACCTTCTATACTAGTAAATCTCAAAAGCCCAATCAATGCAAACTCTCGGAACATTATATATAGACAGACTGTCTATCACTGCCCGTGTGAAAAACAGTTGCAAACGTCACGTGAGCTGCATTACTGTTTAATTGCACTTACAGATTGGACATTTGGCCGTAAATGTTCCCAACAGCCGTTTATACTTTATAGCCAATTCTTTCAGAGCGCAAAGCCCGATCAGAAAAATTCCATGAGACATTACTGTATTATTTTACGGGGCATTGGATGCATTACGAAATTCACGAACATTTTGTATTTGCACAGACAGGACTTTTTGGATACAATAATATCTGTACATGTACATCAGTTCGCATACATACGTGCTCAGACTTCGCCCAGTTATAGATATACAAATGTAGATATATACTGTATATGTACATGCGCGACCGCCTTCGACGCTTATTGTAAGCTTTATTTTACAGCACTTATTGTTAATCACTCCGTCCCACACTACTATGCTGCTTTCAGTAAATAATAAATTGATTATATTAACAATGGCTTTTGTTAAACGTTAGAAACTGCTCTCGGTAAAGAACTTTTCCTAATTCCATTCGAAATCGCAGAAATCGTTCTGTGGCTAGATACTGACGACTTCCGGTTACCTTTTAAAGCTGCCCCTTCCACTTCCAACAGCGTATGCGACCTCGATATGGGATGCGGAAAGACGCAGTAAAAAGAAAGTAAACGCGATGCGGCTTGTATGCCGATCTTCAAGACTATGAAAACGAAAAAATGACGGTAGCCGGTAAATAGAAGTCGCTTTTACTTTGTAGCGTCAATGATCCATATGTTGCCAGCCAGGTTCGATACGTCCAGTAATATGCAATTATGCATATGGTGGTTATCATGTCGCTAATTGAGATCATCAGTCCAATCACATTCAGAGCAAAAAACCGGTGGAGATTGCGTTGCTGGTACTGGCCATGCTTAAATGCAATAGCGGATTTGCCAATCTTTCCCGCGATCAGCATGCAGATGATGTCGATGGTTTTGAATGTCATCAGTGCAAATCTAAAATTTAATTTTAACTGAAGTGAAGTGAAGTCTGCATTGATGTGCTGTTACCGGTTGATTTTTTGTGGTTTTTGGTTACTGACCAATAATGTTATCGCAGTGTACGTAC